CCCACCTTCAGCACCTCACTTTGGAGGAATTTGGGAAGCTGCTGTGAAATCCGCAAAATCGCATTTGAAAAGAACAATAGGTGATCATAAATTGACCCTTGAAGAGTTTTTAACTCTTACTGCACAAATTGAATCCTGCTTGAACTCTCGTCCTTTGTGTCCAGTATCGGACGATCCCGCTGAGCTTTCAGCACTTACCCCAGGACATTTCCTTGTGGGAACCGCTCTTTCCTCTATACCAGAAGAGAACCTTCTAAGCGAAAACATATCCCCATTAAAACGTTGGCAGTTGACTCAAAAACTTTTCCAGAATTTTTGGAAAAGATGGGTTAACGAGTATATTTCCAGCTTACAGCAGCGCCCCAAATGGTTGCGAGAACAGCCTAATTTGAAAATTAACGATTTAGTTCTCATTAAAGAGGACAATATTCCACCTTTGAAGTGGAAATTAGGGCGTATACAAGAAGTTTTTCCTAGTGCTGATGCTAAGGTAAGAGTGGTCAGTGTCAAAACTGAGACTGGAACTTATAAAAGACCCATTCACAAACTGTCAGTTTTACCTATTGACTGATTAACTTTCTTTATTTTATTTTAGACTTTTACTTTTCTTTTTGTTTTGTGTTATAGTTATCCGGTTTATACCAAAGAATCTATACATCTGTTTATAATTATATATATTTTAATTTTATGTATGTTGCATTAGTTTTTTTATAATTATCTTTTTATTAGATGTGTATAGTTTAATTTTGTTTTGTCAATTTATGTGCAAATTTTGAAACTATGTTTCAAGGTGGCCCGGTATGTTGAAGCCGGTATGAATGTAGTAATAGTAGCGCCACCTACATTAATTAGAAAAAAGAGTCAGTTAATGTAAAACAACCAAAGAGCATACACGCTCGGTTTTTGCATCTCCGCAGCGCTACCAGCGCACCCGCAAAATAAATTATTTACAGTCCACGTTGTCCAAGTTTGATTTTATACACCCCGCAAGCTATCGCAAAACACACATACTATTTTGAAATTTTTTTTTTAATAAATACAGCCGTGATTCATAGAGCCGTGCTATCCATTTTGTAAACTTCAAAAAAAGGAGAGAAATATAGAAATACGAGCAACAGCTGCGTCTTAAGACTGCGACAGTCACTAATAAAATTAGCCTCTTTTTAAAATCATATCTGCAGAAAGGGAATCATTGCAATATCAGAAAATGTAAAACCATCGCTTTTTACTAATTAGTAAAAGAAAAGGAAACATAGAACACTACGAAAACTTTTATAAATATTAAAACCATGATGTATCTTCAATTTAAAATTTTGCTAATCAAACAAATATGATATTATTTTAAAACCCTTTCGTAAATTAAAAAACAAAACGTAGCTCATGCTTAATTAAAATGACATTTGGGTAAGGCTCCCATACTATGAGAGCTGAACTATCAGCCATTATGGAGCAAACAAGTTCGCAGGTTATGTTATGTTAGTATTAGCGTGAGAGTTCGAAGGCTATTTAGATACCTAAAATTATTGATATGGGTGGTTGTGCAGCGGTAAATTGCACAAACAGTTCAAAAAAAGGCTTTCGAATGTTCAGATTTCCTTCAAATTTTAAAAAAATAAGAAGACATGGGTAATAAATTGCAGAAGATACAACTGGAAGTGGAGCTCGATTATGTGAGGTAAATACGCATTTATTTATAACTTATTGGATTTATTTACTTATGCAGTTTATAAACGATATTAAGTTGTTAGAATTTGTTTCTAAATGCTTGTTTTCGGCTTTTTTTTTTTTTTTTTNTTTATACTGTCTCATTCCTCATTTTTTTTTTTTTTTAAATAAGTAAATAACTTTCAGGGTTACTTGAATTGTACAGTTTTAACTGTGTACCAAATATAGGAATTTTCATTAAAAATTGCATTTATTAAATATATATTTATTTAAAATATATATTTCAACAACATTTATTCATTTTTTTTAACAATTTTAAGTGTTTACGTGCAATAAAATCAATGAATGAAGGCAAAAGATTGACTGAGTAAGTATTCGCCTAACTTATTTCAGAATCGCCAAGTTTTGTGTTCATTTTTAAGTATTTCCTTTTGTTAAAAATAAATATTTACCTGCTTTTTATTGTACTCCTTTTTATTTCACTAATAGATCAGGTAGTAAGTTTTTCTTATCCTGGTAAGTTTTACCCTTTTAAGTTTTTTATCCTGGCTCATTTAAGTTTTTTTTATTTTTAGTTACTTATGGTAATGGTCGTTTACATTTATCATAAGAAATATATTTAATATGCGATCTTTTATGTATTTTTGGATCTATCAATATTCTTTTTCTTTGAAATTCTTCTGTTAAATTGCTGAAATTGTTAGTTTCTGTATTAGAAAGTTTTAAGGGAATATATTAAAAATTTTTAAACTCTAAATCTTTTAATGTGATTTAATTTAAGCATGAAAATTTTCAAAAAAAGTATTCGAAATATTTTAGCAGGTTCATTTTGAAGAATCTCAACTAGAAATAAATAGGAAAGATGGTGAAATTTAGGACCAAATTTACTTTGAAGTCATTTTTTAAAAAAATTGATGTAATTGGCATGTAGCACAAACACAATTCTTTATTCGAAACTTTCAACCGGTAATAAAATTTGCAGTGAATTCGTATAAGTATTAAAAAAAAAAAAAATTTTGATATACGACGCACGCTTAAATAAATTCAAATCAACGCACGCCTTTCTTTACTGATTATCCTAGTTGATGTTAACGTCGTTTGTAGCGATAAGTTGCTAAATCTTGTAGCTCTTCATTATCAGAAGAAAAGCTTTTGCTCCGAAATGGCGGATAAGTCGGCCTCTCCTGCATTTGGGTACATGTGACCTATGACGTCAGCTACTTGTTTATAAGCAAAATGGTGTATTGAAGTCCGACCGGCCTATCTAGGGGACAGGGAACCGTCCTTGCATTAGAAAGGTCCTGAGTTCGAATCCCGGGCAAGGCATATATGTTTCTTTCTCTCTATGTGTTCTATGTCCTTTCTCCTTTGTGTGTGTGACTGTGACCCGCCCTATAAACGGGATTGTGGTTGTGTGAATGGTGTGGCAGAAGTCGAATTCTTGGCAATAGATGGCGCCACTGAGAAACAAGAACAATCGCACCCCCTTTGCCTAAACAGGCATACGACGGGGAAAAAAAAGTTGAACTAAGTCACTTCATATAAATTAGAATGTTAATTAACGAAGTAAATTAAATACAGCGCCGTATCGCGAATCGAATTAGTTGAAATATAATTCTTTCTCGTGTACGTCTCTTATGTATTTTATTGTTTATGTATTTTACTATAACCCTGATATATTTTTTACCTGATAACTTCGATACATAATTAGTTTGTTTATGATCTGCATGCTTTTGGCCTGTCTTTTGCATTAAGTAAAAAATGCATAGTGAAAGAATTAAAATCTTTGTGAAGGAATTCTTGCGTAAGGATTTGGAAGGTGACACTTAATGGATACTTAACAGGCTTACCTAACGCGAGATACAATGAAAAGAACAGTTGCTTACGTAAACAAATTCCACGTTTCAACTACCAATTAGGATCGAAATGCCCATACTACGACACTTGCAGGCATCTAATTGTAGAAAAAACAATTAAACCTAATCAATGTAGCTTTTAGTATATTTGTAACGACTGCAATGTACTTTAATTACTAATTAATTCGTGACCTCGGATCAACCTTGTTGTCTTCTGCGTGTATTTTTAATTACTTGTTTACCCTTAAGAACACGCAGCTTTGCAATTACCAATTGATTCGTGACTTCAGATTAACCTTGCTGTCTTCAGCTCGTTTTTTATCGCTTTGTTTACTTTTAAGGATTCATTGTTTTGCAACAGGATTTTTTTTTTTTTTAAATTTGTGAATAAGAAATAACAATGAGTAAAATTTTAAAAGAAGCTCGAGTCCTCAAAAATTATTCAGCACATTATAGTCCCCGATATGTGTCAAGAATTGAAATAAAATAATTTTTAAATAATATCAAAAATTTAAGTCTTTATTTCTCAACATATGTACATATAGAGCTTCTAAATTTTTGACCATTATTTCCTAAATCTAAATTATTCCATCTGTCAACATCCATTTGAAATTTTGCCAATTAGAAATTTAACCCACAGAAAGAGCAACCAAATAATTATGTTTTTCATTCATAGCTACATTCCAATAAAACTGGCTTATGACGTCGCAGAACCAATGTTTGGTCGTGATGAAAATTTGTGCCCAATAATATTCATCCATGGTTTTAATCAGTCTAAAGAATTGTGGCATCAGATTCCTTACGAGATTGCAAATGAAACACACAGAAGAGTAAGAAAAACTAATATAATCTAAGCCTAAAAAAAATAACCATTAATTAGAATAAAAATTATGGTACTGATTAAATTTGCTATTTGGAAACTCATTGATGATTTTTTTTAATCCATTTATATCTGCTGTCTACTTTTTGAAGTAATTTTAAAATTGATCTTTGTGACTTCAGCTAATTAGGGGGACTGGAAAGTAGTGTCGTTTCGGCGCATTAAATATTCGTTAGTCTTAAAAACCGATTCATTTTTTTCGATTCATTTTCGATCCGGCATTGAAAGGTTGTTGCTAACGAGGGTGAATACACTATTGATTAAAAATAAAATCGTGATAACAAATATCAAATGCACCGAAACGACATTACTTTCCGGTCCCCTAATACTTAAATAAACACATATATTGAATAAAAAATAATTTTTCTTAAAAATATCTTGTTTCTCTACTTTTTTTTCCCTTGAAAGATTAAGCTCTAACAAGGAAATAGCACCACAAAGTGTAGCATAAATTATTGTAGTCAAATAAGAATTTTTTTTTTCCATCAAAAAAAAATTTTTTATGCTGCATAAATAGTTCGATTCGTAAACGAAAAAAAAGTGCTTTTTATTACATTAGAGAAAGAAAATGATTGCAGGCATCATGGTGTTCAGGTGGCTCAATTTAAAAGCGCATGAGTTTTTGTTCAAAAGGTCACCAGTTCAAAACCGATAGTCGATATAATTTTCTTGACAAACTCTAATGCGAAATTATGCCAGTTTTATTTATTTCTTTTTTTACCTTGAAAATTTTTAAATAATTTTTATTTCTTGGATAAAGAAAACTACAGTTTGATCTGTTTGATAACAAAATAAAATTTTGAACAGCATTTTGAAAAGTATCAGGATGTTCTCCGTCATGTCCGGAATTCTTAAAGAAATATCTAATTATGACTCTGAATAACGCTGCTCAGAACTACTTAAAAATAAACAAAATTACCTTAAGAACAAATTATCCTTTCATATATGCTGTCTCTTAATGACATAGTTTGATTTCTTCATAGATTTGAAATGCTATCAATCATATTATCAATTTTATTTCCAAAAAAAGAAAGGTTCATAACTAGGGGCTGTGTTCTCTGTATTTTTTTCTCGAGATACCTCAACTTTCACTTTTTTTTTCGAGGGAAAAAATTAAGTCTGTTATATAGTAGATGCATAAAAGTGCTTTCTGTGTTAATAAATTAAATCATTTTTCTTCAGTTTTCTTTTTCTTTTCAATCAATGTGGAATGAATATTCAATTTTTTTTTACAGGCATATGCATACGACATAAGGAATCATGGTGACAGTCAATGGTCTAATACATTTAATTGTGATCTCATGCTTAGAGACCTACAACATTTCATGAATTCAAATAAAATACAGAAAGCTATAATCATAGCACACAGTCTTTCAGCATATGTGGCTCTGAAATTCGCTATAACTTCGGTACTGTTTCATTATCTACTCATTCATTCATCCATATTCATTGATTTTTTAATACAGCAAACAATTTATTAATAATACAGAGGATTAAATAAAACTTTTATTCTAAAAACAAGCTCACATGTATACACATAGGGGTCAAACATCCTCCTTCATGTAAAATTTTGTATCTGTATTTGCGACAGTTTGCCCTCAGTACGCCATATTAATATTAATAAGCAAATGGCGCTAAATTTATTATGGGGTGACTTGAATGATTTCTCAGTTATTACCAAAAATTTGAAGAATCATGGTGACAGTTAGTGGTCTAATGCATGGACTTGTGATAGCATGCTTAACAACCTACAACAATTCATGAATTGCAATAAAATACAGAAAGCTACACTCATAGCACACAAAATTTCAGCATGTGTGTTTCAGTGATTAACTATAGCTTCGGTACTGTTTCAATATATATTCATCAATTTCTGTTTCTTTTTCAATGCATTTTTATCAAATTCCTTAATTCAGCAAGCAATGTATTAATAATACAGAGGATAAAATAAAACTCTTACCCTAAAAACGAGTTCTCAGGTTCAAACGTTAGCCTTCATGTTCAATTTCGTATCTGTAAATGTAACGGTTTGCCCATAGCTCGCAACATAAATATTCATCTGGCCAGTGCATTGTGAGGTGACTTGAATTTCGGTGGTGTTGCTTGAATGGTTCTAAGTTATTAAATAAAAAATGAATAAAAACGTGTTTTATGTTGTCCATCAATGAGGAAAAGAACGAAGACATCGAGGTGTTCTGGTGGCTTAATGGAAACTATTGCAACATATCAAGCTATATTAAGAAACATTTCTTTGTTTTTTACACTTATTTCACACCACAACAAATACAGTAACAAATATAAAGTACCCGTAACGGGATAGTTAAATCTTATAAAACAAACTAGAAAAAGAGCCCGTTACGGGATATATGAAAACTTAAATTCCAAAACAAACTAATCTCTAAAAAAAAAAGAACTCTGTTGTTCCACAAAAAAATCTTCTTATTTTATCGCCTGCTTTTATTTTATTGTTTATCTCGTTATGTGTTTATTTTATTTTGTTCATGCTTTTGCTATCCCGTTATTTTTTAATATTTTAACTTTTATTCTTGCTTTTGCTAGCCAATTATTTTTTTAATATTTTTAGTCTTTATACTATATTTATTTTTTGTTCAAGAAATCACCCTGTACAAATTAGATGATCAACTTTTCTTCCTGTGTAGACTTTTCGCTTAATATTTTGAAATAATTCTTTAATTTTTTGCGTATTTAAGTTTTTTTAATTTAAATATTTCGTATTTTTCTATAAAAAAAAAATAAACTCAATTTTTGTTAACGATAATGAAAATTGCCTAAGCAACACCACTACCCGTAAAATATTTTTAATGATATAAGCCGGATATTGCAATATCTGTTTGATATCATTACGATATCGTACGGGTATTTGCGTTACTTGGATGTCTATCATTAAAGCTATATTAGAGGCCCAGCAAGTTAGCGCGTCAACGAATGGTTCAAATTCCAATGTGTGTGCGTAGATTAGTGAATTTAGTTACAATGAATACATTTTATAAAGTCTTTGATGAAACATTTGCATATAATATATGAAAAGGAAAAAAAAAATTCGGAATTTTGAAAATTTACCTGGATGATCCTAACCGAGAGGTCGGTAATAGCACGCCATTAAAAAAATCGAAACTATAGCAGTTGCCAATTTTTTTCAGCCAATTCGGATTTCTGACTCCTAAAATATAGAGGGTAGCAACAATCTGGAAAATACGGTCCCAATGGTTTGGTCAGGAGAATGCTCCAAAGTTTGAACCCCTTAATTTTAAATTTACTTTTTGCGTATTTCGTTATATTTAGAAAACTTTTTAATAGAATTCAGGAAGTTTTGCACACAATCATAATATTCATTTATCCAACAATAATTCCGTAGAAAAAATAACTTTTAGTAAATATTTATTATTTTATTTAATAATGGTCTAAAGAATTGAGAGGTATGCTATTTTTTAAATCATTTTAACGAATATAATTTAATGGCAAAATGCAAAATTTGAGCAAAATCGGTCGAATAGTACTTGAGAAACTTATTTTCAGAAAAGTCAGATATTTGAAATTCGATTTCTAAAGAACTATTTGATCAATTTTGCTCAAATTATGTATTTTGCATGCAAAACTATATTCTTTAAAATAATGCAAAAATTGTATACCTAACATTTCAAAATTTTTTGACTATTGTTAAATATTTAATTAAGGTTATTTTTTTGCATGGGATTATCTTTGGGTAAACAAATTTTATATTTGTGTGTTAAAATTTTTTTAATTCCCTTAAAAAGTTCTCATATAACGAATTACGCAAAAACTTTTTAACATTAACACTAAGTGGTCCAAACTTTGGAGCACTCTCCTCACCCAACTATTGGTATCATATTTTCCAGATTGCGACCGTCCCCTATGTTTTGGGGGTCAGAAATCTGAATCCGTCGAGAAAAAGGTATGTTTATTCAGAGAAAGTACGTTTTTGTGTCTGATTTCGTAACTTAAAATATCGTCTGCACTTATTAATTGGAATATTTGAGGTCACCCCCTCCATTAAGATTGAGTCTTAGCAGGTGAAGGTCCGATCAAAAGTTATTCAGGGAGATCAATTTTTTTTTCGCATTGTACATTCACGGAACATTAAAAAAAAGTACTTGATGTTATTTCAATGGATGGAAACATATTTTTCCTGTTCTTCTATTTCTTAAAGGACATAAAAGAGACTTAGTGAAGTTGCAAATATTTTATAGATTCCTAGCGTTTCCTAAATTAAATATTCGCTGTCGAGAAAGGCATAAAAAGGTAAGAAGAAGTTAAAAGAAAAAAGTATAAAACACTGGCTAGTGCAAATATGATTAAATATTTCATATTAATTTCTTCTGTTAAAGCAATTTTTTTTATTCAAAACTATTTTTAACACGGTTGTAAATTAATTTCTCCAACAAAAGTTCATCAGCCAAAAGTATGGAATTGCATTTCGAAAGTAGCTTGTAATCGCTACTGTTGAAAAAAAAAGTTGTTGCAGTTGCTGTAGCTAGCAATAATTGTAATAATGCAACTGTAGTTAACTGCAAAAAAATAAATATTCCAAGTACTGTCCTCAGCATATCCAGATTTCTTAAATCTTGGTTTAAACACAAATAAAATAATAACTTTAAAAATCTAATTAAAAACCTAACCTTTAACCTTTTTGAAGCTTATTGCCGAGGAGTGACAAAGTTTGATTTATTTTATAGATGCGATGCATCATCACTAGATTCCATAATAAAAAATATATTAACAAGCTCATATTTATTTAAAACTAGCTGAATACCCGTTCTTCGCACGGGAATATTTAAAAATAAATTTAAAAAATCAATAAATCAGTATTGAAAAACACTCAGAAATCATGAAATCAAACTGAAAATCATATACCGACACAATTAAAGAACTTGGAAGAACCAGATAATTGATATTTTTAGGGGAATTAATGAATCAGAATTAATGAGATTTTTAAAAAAAGTGGTTGAATAATTACGGGTATGCTTAATGTAACAGAACTGCTTTTGCTTTCACTTAAATTTTAACATAACTAATTACATCAATTTTCAGTATGCTTGCATGATTTTTGTTTCAAATTGGGTCGTGGTAAATAAATAAAAAAAAAGAAATATTTGTCCCACTTTCTAATAAATTGGTAATAAAATAGTTCAGATGCGACTTTTCTTTTTTCTTTTTTTGTTCTGAAAATGTCACTAGCGTGTTTCCCCCACTAAGTTTTTCAATTCATATGACTAAAATAATTTCAATTTTTTAATTTAATGTTATATGTTGTTATCTTCGGTGGATTTGTTATTGAAGTAAGCAAAGCTGGTTGTTTGTAATTCATACCATTGAATAGAGATAAAATGTATTTAACATCTCTCAGCATGATGCTGTTGCTCACTTCCGATTCATGATAGTTAAAATTCCCCTTAAATTAATCATTTAATTCCAAAATATAGGTAATAAAACTGCTTGGTGCAGTTTTAAGAATCACCAAATATATAAACATAATATTTTATACCTATATTAGTATATTTGGAATTTATTATATAATCCTTAAACATTTGAGTTTATACATATTTGTCAATGGCAGCCAACTAAAGCCGAATTTTTAATAAAATATATAAATTCGAACTTCATAAGGATTTTGGAGCCTTCTCTATCTGACTTTTAATTTACTGTTAAAATATTTATAAGTAATGGTGGAAAAATTTCTTTCATTTATAATTCTTTAAAATATTAATACACTGGACATTAATACCACTGGAAAAAATGTTTTCTGAAACTGCGGAAAACCCGTTGTAGAATTCTTATCAGAACTAATTACTATAATACCAGTAGTACATATTACCGTCAGTGATACATATGAATTAAGCGTCATCTGTAAATGAGAATTTTTTACGGTTTACTTAAACAAATTTCCCATTAATCTCTCTTCCATCAGCTTGGCTCTTGAGCACATAGCTTATTTTATTTTACTTCAATTAATACACATTATCAGTATTAATTAAGCTTTAGTGTCAATAATAACATGCAGATTTTTTTACGATTACCCAAAGAGCGAATAAGTATCTTTTCTACTTATTTTTGCTTTTGAGTTCAGAAGTTACTTTTTTTTTTATTTCAATTAATACATATTACCAACATTAATTAAGCATCATTGTCGTCAATGATAATATGACGATCATCATGCACTGGAGATTTCTTCAGTGTAGCATATTAAATTAAAAAAAGAAAAATGTTTGATATTCTTTCTTATGCAATGGAAAACAAAATGGAATCTTTTTTTTAAGGGAAGGAACATCCACAACACATCGAGCAACAGCATTGCGTCAAATGAATACAGTTAATCTTTATTTTGATGGGATGACCTAACTAAAAAAGTGTTTAGCTTAATCTAATAACGTAAAGTCACCGGAAAGTAAAAAATTTCAAATTTAAGTAAAGAAAAAAGAAATAATTAGTTTAGCTTTATAAATTGTGTTGGTATATGTTTTTCAATTTCGAAAACTGATTTTTTAATTCTTTTTCTTATTTACCCCGTACAAAGAACTGGTTTTCAGGTAGTAAAAGACAAAGTTTCTGATAAAAAAGAATTGCTAAAAGGAGAAAAGAATATGAAATGGGTTTAAATTTAAACAATAGAATCGTTACAGAGAGAGGTTTCGAAATTTCAAGCAGCCTATAATTTTGTAATTGAACCTGATTATTTACCCGTAAAAACCTGATAGTTACAAGCTTTTTTTATACACGTAGCTTGTATAATTCGCAAGGCATCAAAATTGTATTTCATACTTGTAGCCACCTTTGCTAGATAACATTAAAAATGATAATTGATTTTATGTAATTTCTCAAGAGCAAAAAGATATTAATCTAAGACTTTGGATTACATAATTATGCTGGCGCCTAAAAATTAACACTGACTCCTAGAAATTTTGAATCTTTTGTAAACCTCTGGTGCTGCGGATGAATAGTATTTGATTTTAAACAATTCATTTTCTGACAGGAACCATAACAATTGTTTTCTAATAAAAATTGTAGAAAACACGATTCAATAAGAACTATCTAATAATCGTCAAATATCGTTTCAGCCAGAAAGAGTTGAAATGGTAATAGCAGCAGATCCATTAATTGGAATAGAGACAAAAGAAGAAAGGGATGCAAGCGTGCCCTATGGTTTGTTATGGGCAGAAGCTATCAGAAAAGTGCCACCTTTTACGACCAAAGATATGGCAATAAAACTTGCGGTTGATTATATGTACGATCAAATACCACCGGAAAAACAAGTAAAAATTATGTTTCTATAAATCCATTTGGTATTCATAAAATTGGTTTGCAACTAAGCAAAATCGAATGAATTTAAATCTCTATTCCAAACGACGTTCCGGTATTTCTTTACTAGCCAGAACGTCGTTTCGCTACTATAATTCGTGTATTACAAGTTTTTATTTTATTCATAAGTCGTTAGTTTCCACCAAAGCTAAAGAGCTAAATAGTATTAGCGAAAATTTTGAGCACAATTTTAAATTCCAGTTATCCAAAGATAATTCCACGCAAAAAAAAAACAATATTTTGTTGATTATTTTTTTATTTAATAATGGGTGAAAATGATGTACTGTAAAGTATACACGCTAATACATAATTTTAAAGAATGTATTTTTATATGAAAAAATAGAAATTTTGAATGAAATTGATCGAATAGTTCCTGAGAAATCGAACTTTGAACATCCGAATTTAAAAAAATTCTATTTCTCTGAAAATATTCGGCTGATTTCACCCAAATTTCGCATTTTGCCATAAAAAATTGCATTCTTTAAAATGATTTAAAAACTTGCATGCCCTGCATTCCAAAAATCTTTCTACCATTATTAAATAAAATAATAGAAAATAAAAAAAATAATCATTAGAAAATTTTGGGGAGGGAACTATCTTTGCATAAGCGAACTTTAAAATTGAGTGCGAAAATTTCTCAAATCGCTTTAAAAGTTCTAAGTATGGCGAAATACGCAGAGTAAAATTAACAATGCGGGATCCAAACTTCTTAACCAAGCTATCGGAACCATATTTCCCAGACAGCGGGTAAACCAGAAGGTCTTGGGGGGGGGAGGATCATAATCAGTCGGGGAAAAAGTTATGTTTATTCAGATTCTAACTTTTTGGGTATTAGGTTGTGTGCTGCGTTGTTAGGACTCTAGGAAAGAGCTAGGACTCTGCATTTTTATAGCAGAGTAATTTGCATACATCCAGACAATGGTCCATCTATCGGTAGATTTTGGAACTACTTCATTTCCTCACTATTATTCTGCTATAATATCAGGCAATTCAGACGAGTACTTTTAAAATTGATTTTTTAAACCGTAACTTTAATTATAACCACTCTGTATTGTAACATTGAATACAGAGGTTGCTGTAATCATTGATCTTAATATATAGCTTTAGAATCCTGGCCAATGAAACTAAAATTACAATATAAACTTATATAAGTTTTTTAAAAAAAAGGTTATATAAATCAAACAAATCACTATTGAGAAAAACTGGATTGAAACAGTCAAATTAAATCGGACTTGACGGATGAAATTTGAAGATGTTTCTTATAATCTCCATTAATCTTTTCCCAGATTCCTTCGACTATCAAACAGGTTTTGGATATTTTTTAACTCACCTTACTCAATATTGATACATTAGGTTTTAATAGCGTTTTTGTTTTTCTTCGCTTAAGTATCTATTCGTGCGCACAAACAAAAATGATAATAACAATTAATAAATAAAAGAAAATTAATGCAATTTTGAGAAGTATTCTAAAGGTATGAGAAATGTTATAAATTTGTACTACAATTATATGCATTGATCATAGGATTTAATCCTTTTCCAATGCTTTATTCCACATTCCAACATCTGTTGAAAAAATTGCATTTCGGTAACGTAATTAACCTCTGTAATTCACCCCCCCCCCTTTTTACGAAGATGCGTTCCAGGAAGAAAAAAATTCAGCCCTACAACGCTGCTCCATTCACAAAACATTCGTTACGTTGGAAAGCGTGAGTAGTAGTATGAGAAAATGCGGCGAAGAAGGAAATTCCCTAAAATATTGAATATATTCCTGTCACAACGCAATTTTTTTTCCGTATAGTAAAATGGCGACTGATGCACGCTAAATCTGTCGAGTTACAAAGTCCTCCATGTTCCCATAACAAATCATACCTCTGGGGGAAATGATCAAGGAGTTTCCTTTCTGGATTGGCTAAAAGTTACAAGGCTACGGAGTTGAACATTAGTAGTCGTAAACCCAAAATTGGGTCGGCTGTTCAACGACGGTTATGAGCAAAAAAAAGAAAAAAGATTTTGAAGTGCTGAATTTACTTTAGCAAAATTGAAGACACTCAACTGATTTGATTTCTTTCCTCAGTTAAAAATTGATTCAAGACCCCCAAAGTGAATTTTTTTTCTTTTAAATTTTGGTTTCAAGGATTTCAAAAATACATCAAGTCAGGTTACTGCGGAAAACTTACATAGATCAAGAGAGGCATCCAAAATTAAGTATTTAACTTTTGAGTACTCAAACATTTAATGCAAGTCAAATTCATCGGTCATCTACTTATAATTTTTAAAATGCTTAGAAATAAGTATTTTTTTATTAATTAAATATATTGTTAAAATTGACTTGTTATGCAGTCCTTTGGTTGTTATTTTCTAACTTAAAACATGAAGCATTTCTTTTCTTTTTTTTTCTAAAAACTTCCATATTTAAAATTTTACTTCTCAAAAACTATTCGACCGATTTCGTTCAAATTTGAAATTACACTTTTTTAAATAGTTCAAAAATTTGTAAATTTAAAACATTGACTATTGCTAAATAAAATGTAATAAAAAATATTAAATAATTATTAAAAATATCTTTTTGCAATTCGCAATATTTGGATAAACTAATTATAAAATATGTGCCAATTTTTTTTTTTACCCCTTTTAAGTTTTAGAGACATATCAGAGTTCGCCAAAATTAACTTAAGGGCAAAATTAACCAGATTTTCGCTACTCTCCTAACCAAATTCTTGGGACAAGGGCGCCGGTATGGGAGGTCGCTGTGTAAAGAGTAAAAGATAAAAGATGGTAAATAAAATCTCCTTTGTATCAGTTGCAAATAAATAGTTGCCTGTTGTCACTATTAAAGTTCCAATATTATAGAAATAAATTAAGAAATCTTATTAACTTTTACTAATCCTTTTCCTTACTTTATTTATAGGAGACTCTCAGTGATAAAGAACATTTATACCAGTGTAATTATATTCTTAATCATAAGGACGATGGCAGCTATGATGTAAAACTCAACGTTGAAGTCGTAATAGAAAGCTTTAAGACTGATGTGAGGTTATATCCATTAGAAGGTGTCTATGAAGGGCCAGCTTATTTTATAAATGGAAGCAAGTCTTATTTTAAAGTGTAAGTAATTATAATTACTACTAATTTATTTTTATTAACTCGCTTTTGTCAATTTTTGCAGTGGCTAGTATATTCAAATCTTACTAGAGATAACGGCAATCGTTTTCTGACTGTTATAAGTAGAATTTACCGTCTTGTTATCCACTAAAATTTCGACTCAAAACATAACTATAATATATTTATTCAGGTTTAGATATTTTCTCAACATGTTTTAAAATTTAAACAACAAAATATAGAAAATTTTGATAAAACTTAGTTGATGTTCACAAACTAATTATTTAAACAAAATAAATTTATGCACGACCCAACAAAAAAAGAAGTCTAAGTATTACAGAAAACCAGTGTGTGTTTACCGACATTTTGTTCAAAGCAATATCAGTGATTGTTTTTTCGTTGCCAATTTTGGATGAAGTGCTAAAAAAATTTCAAACATACATCAATCCTAACGTTTATAACTTTCAGTTGACGCAACTTATTAAAATTAGACTCTTTTAACTGAAATCTTATGTTTATATTTATACCTCTTCGGGTAGTTGCGCATTGGTTAGGTAGGGTGAAGAACGTTTGCCTTAAATGTCAAGTAAGAAAAGAGCATATGCTTTACATTACAATAGTCGATGCGAGCTGGTTGCGGAATTCATAACATCCGGTCATTGCTGGGATTTGAACCTCGACCACCACATTGGGAGGCAAACGAGCTCTCACGACTCAAAATTCTCCTTGTACCACAAGTTATTTTATTTTTTAAACGCAATATTGCCTCTCATAATAATGCTGATTTTTCGAAGGTTTACAAAATGCTCTTCTCTTCACAGTTCTACGGTTAAGAGTACTGAACATACAGGTATAAACAGAAATTATAAAACTTAAGTGTTATTTATGGAAGTTAATTTAAATGAATGTTAAATGTGCCCATTAAGGTCCATAAACAATTCAGAAAATTCATCATATTCAGGAAAGGAAACCAAGTGATTAGACTACAGCTTATATCCAAAATAATAAAATTCCAACATTTCCTGCTATATTTGTCTTAAGCAAATATAGACAACAAAAAAAATGAAGTTTATTGTTATCATGAATACGGGTTGTAGTGCCCATTGATTAGCCTACAAATAGTAGTTAATTTTTTATAAATAACTAAGCCTAAATCACGCCTTCCAAACCGCCGATACATATTTCAAAATATCTTAAGGTAGATTTAGGTAGAATACTTATTTATTTCAATCAATTTTCATTCAAAAATGCTAATTATTTCTTGACAAAAATCTGTATTTCTATTAATTCTCTTACAGTTATGAGAAAAAAGAAGAAATATTGAAACACTTCCCCAAAGCTGAGCTTTTCTTAATAAATGGTGCTTCACATCATGTTCACATTGATGCAACTGAAGAATTCATACAATTACTTTTCAAAATTCTTGTAAAAAATTGAAAATTTTCAAAATATTTAATAGAGTTAAATAGACAAATAGTAATAAAATGGTACTGAAAATTAAAGTATACAAATTAACAAATATTTTTTTATGAATAAAATACTGTGTTTTTTACTGCCTGTGTATGTACAATCCTTTAGAATTATGAAACCTGTATAAATCTGACACAAAAAATATCCACAGTAAGTTGTAAGATTACAAAAGAGTATTAGTTTCTTTCTTATTTAAATGTTAAATTGTGACAATGATTTTAATAATGTAGATTAAGAGTAGTCAGAAATAAAAATCATGTATATATATAAAGGTTGTCTTTTTTTTCTTCTTTTTTCTTTTTGTTCTAAAATATTTTTAAGTTCCAGCTCATTACCAAAACTTAATCTCAAGAACAATGAAATGTGTCTTGCGAGTAAAGATAAAATCTACAAAAAAATATATGTATTTATGAATAAATAGAAGGTAATTTAAAAATCAGCAATTCCAGTATCAACTTTAAAAATAACTGAACTTTTGAGAATAATATTGATAAATTTCGAGAATTTTCACAAAATTTTGAAAATTTCAGTGCAATGCAGGGCATATTAAAATTTTTTGAAAAATGGGAAGGAAAAAATTTTATACAAGCTAATAATAATTTTTACACTATAATAATCCTTCTTATTCTGTTAAAAAAATATATAAAAATTACAGCAAATTTAAAACAGAAAGTTGAATAATAAATAAAAACTACAATATGAAGAATGCTTTATATAGTATGATTTCATTATACAATGATAAATGAGATGATGCAATAAAAATTAAACAGTAAAACAACATAACTAAGTGATACATATTTAGTTTCTAACTTAGATAAGTTTAAACAATTAGAATACAAAGAAATCATAATTAATTAAACAGAATATAAAGCTGTTGTTAAAAAAAATTTTTAAGGAAAATCTCAAAAATTTGTATAATTCTACAGGAGAAAAAATCCCAATACTATTAAACTAATAATTAAAAAACTATACTTGAGAAATATATAAAACTTAACATACATCACTTAATTAGTTCTTACAATACAATTTTTGATGCAAATAAACTTAATAATTCTTGAAAGAAATTATGTCGGTATGCTTATTGATGTTGCAGCCATCATTAAAATCTGCTCAGTTTTTTTCCTCCAGTTAGCAATATTTTTAGAAACTGCACACCAATACTCGCCATGGCGAGGTTCTGCATGGATGCATCGTTTTTTCACATCTTCTTGTTGTTCCTAGCAAAAAATATAAATAAATTATAATTCAAAATCCCTTTATTTAAAAAAGCACAACAGAAAACAATGTGAAATCAGAATTAATTAGCTTAACAAGTGTTCCCACACAGGTTACTCCCTTTTAATCTTTTACTAACTGATGGAACACCAGTTTAAGGTAAGCGAATGTTATTGCAGTAACTGAAAGTTATTGCAAACAACCAGCTAAAGGTAAGTACAATCAACTAATTGATAGACAATTGCAGCCATAGATTAAATATAATTTATAAGTTGAGCTGAAATATCATGCCAAAAACAGTGTGGAAAAAAATTTTATCTTCTAAGGTGATAAGCTTTTCAATATTGTTTTTTTAAATAAAGCCTTAAGAGACTTTGAGTTTTAAAAAAAAGATCAATAAGTTATAGAATACTGAAAATGAGAATTTATAAATTCTTTCAATTATACAATTCAGTTTTTTTATTAAAGAAATACTTATAAGTAATTACATGGAGAGAAAAAAAATAATTTAGAATTTATTTATTAGAAACCAACGCAAATAATTATTAGAATAGTTCCAAAAAAATTTTATAAGCTGAAACAGGAAATATGGAAGTTCTGTGGAAATTTAAAAAAAAAATAAATTTGCTGTTTTAAATACTACTTGGTTTGGTTGTTAACATTGCACTACAGCAACGCTAATAGGCCATTTGAGAGAGTCTGAAATTTATCCTTAATGATGATTAAAATTTTAAATACTTACTTCAGTTCCATGTATTTGTTCAAATTTGTGAAAATATGCCCACGCATCTCCTAGATCAGGATCAATCTTAACTGTTTTGTTGAACCATTCTCTAGCTTTATTTGTCTTCCTTTCAGTCCAAAACAATCTAGAAATTCAAGCACTCTTTTCAGCATTAATACTTTGCAATTAAAAAAAAAATTTTAAATTTTTTTATTTCAAGATCAATAACAAATTGAAAAAAACTATTCCTGTAATTTAAAAAAAAAAACTGAGTGTAACACAACCAGAGATATATAACTTGGATTTTTTTAATAGAGTAAAAATACCCCAGGACCTTTTTAGAAAGAGTGAATTTAATAATTTTAAAAAACGTAATAACCAACCTAAATAAAAGTATTACTGAACTGCAAAATGTTAGATTTTTGGAAAAAAAATTAGAAACAAAAATATACAAAGAATATTTTGTACAGACTAATATTTTAATTCTAATACACTATAATACAATCTTTGAAACCCCAAACTTTGAATTTTATAAAATTTTGTGCTATGTAGATCAATTCACCTATCTTTAAACTTATCTTACTAAATATGGCATTATAAGTCAGGAACAGATCAATAGTAAAATGCTTTAAAATAATTTTTAGATAGAAATATTTAAAAATAAAAAAATTTAAAATACAAATATTAAAAAATATAAAATATGTACTTTAATATTTACAAAATTTATGAAATTTTCAGCAGCATCAGAGCTAGGTACAAACAAATTAATCAATTTTGGTTTGCTTAGCTTTTAAAACTTTAGCCTCTTAGCAAATAATTAAGCTAATATTGTGAAAAGTTAATAGTTCTTTCTTGGTGATAGAAATTTCTTTACTGTGAAAGACATTATTTACACCCACAAAGCTAGTGTGGTTTATGAAGAATTGTGTTTCATAGGGTTTCAACTGTAAATTTATAAAAATTTAGTCATGTTGTAGTGGAATTTTTACATGAAATGATAACAAAAAGTATTAATTTTACTTTGAACCTTTATATCTACTTAATGCAAATATCAATTTTAAATACGATCATTCTTTTGGTTGGTTGTAAGATTTTTACAAATTTTAGCAACAAAAAAAAGAAGGCATTATTTTCCAAATAACTTTTTTTTATCAAGTACAAGTAATTGCTCTTTTTTTCTTTTTTTTTTCCTTTAGATTTCCTTAATTCAATGGGGAACAGTTGTCTACAATTTCTTTCCATGGTATTTTATATTGCATTTGAAAATAAGTGACTGGATTCACATTTATTAATTCAAATGTCAATAAAATTGTCTAATGTAACTAATTTCATAAAATAAATACTCAAATGCTTACTTAGAAACAGCTAATAGAACATGGGGATCATGTTCACATCTCTTTAAAGCATCAACACTTTTAGTCTTTCGTTGAGGCCGAGGTTCCAGAAAAATAGCTTCAGCCCACAGAATTCCACTATTAGGACACTCTTGCATTGCTAATAACATAAAATATTTTTAGTAACTTATAACGAACAACAAATAGAGAAAGACAATGACCATTATGTAGTAAATTTAAAAATCAATTCTAACCGATATTACATAAACATAATAATTATAAAAAGAAAAAAATGACAAAACAAGAGTAAGATTCTACATATGATAACATCTAATATTTTTTCTAAATAAAAATAATTAAAGCAAATTTATAAAATAATTTTATCAATAATTATTTAATATTAATATTCAATATGATTATGATCACAATGCACAGCTAACTTGTTCAGTACTGAGCTGAGTGCCATTAAGCAAGTATTACATATTTAATAGTTTCAATGCAAAATACACTGAATATCTCAGGAACAATTTGAACAGTAACTACAAGCTGTTTTTATCTGTAGCATAAAATGTATCTAAGCTTACAAGCATTTTTGCTTTTATACATAGTTAAAATGAAATAACTCTAAGTCAAAGGGAACTATTACAAAATATCCGAACATTCAAAATACATAGTATATACTTTCAAACAAGAGTGAAAATTAATTGGGAAAAAAACTAAGTATTACTAAGATCACATATTAAATGCATAAATTTAATCTACTGCTACATTATTTTTCATAAAATCAAAGACATTGTCAAAAAATAATTCCATAAAACTAATTCTCTGGTGATTTCTTTAATGCTCTCTTCCAGTTTCTTTATCACTAAAATTTTTTCAGCTCAACAAACAGTGGTTTTTAGGTACTAGGACTCAGTCTTAATGGTTCAAGGGTATCACCTCAAATATGCTAATTAATTAACGCAAACGATATTTGAAGTTTCAAAATCAGACACCAAAACGTACTTTCTCTGAATAAATATATCTTTTTTTTTGTTGAAAGAATTGGAATTGTGATCCTCAAAATACAGAAAGTAGTCACAATCTGAGAAATATGTAGTATAGAAAGAACTGAGAAATATGCAGTATTTATAATAGAAAGTAGAAATAGAAAGTAACCACAATCTGAGAAATATACTTTTACCATTTAATGTTAATTTTACTTTTTGCATGATTGGCCATTTCTCTAGAATTTCTTAAGGGAATCGAAAACTTTTGCACAAAATTATAAAATTCCTTTATCCAAAAATAATCCCATGCAAAATAATAATTTTAGATAATTGTTTATCATTTTATTTAATAATTGTTAACGAATGTTTGAATAATAAAGCACACAAATTTTTACACCTTTTTAAAGAATAGAATTTTATATGTCAAAATACTAAGTTTGAACAAAATCAGTCAAATAGTTTCTGAGAAATTGAATTTTAAAGTAATATATTTAAAATTCGTTTTCTCAAGAACTATTTGACTGATTTTCTTCAAATTTGGTATTTTGACCTATAAAATTACATTCTTTGAAATTATATAAAAATTTGTATACCCTACAAATCAAAAATTTTTTTACTATTATTAAATAAAATAAAAAATAAGAAATTATTAATAAAAAAAATTTGCATAGAAATATCTTTGGATAAATGAATTTTATAATTATGCACAAAAATTTTTCAATTTGCTTAAAGAACTTATAGTTATGGAAACATAAGCAGAAAGTAAAATTAATTTCAAAGGGTCAAACTCAGGACCTCTTTCTTAAGTAAACGACTAAAACCATATCTTCCCCATTGCGGCTATTTCCTACAGTCAGAAATCTACATTTAAAAAAAGGTATGCTTATTCAGAGAAAATATGTAACCCCAAATAACATAATAATGGGTGCACTAAATAATTAACATATTTGAGGTCACCCACAAAACATTAAGATTGAGTTTCAGTATGAGATCATTAAATCAAAAATTATACAAGGTGATACATTTTTTACTGAAAATTATAAAAAGCAACTTACTGAATAAAAGAATTCATAATACTGCATTGTTTTTACAAGCTGTTTAGTAAACATTTTAGTAGCTACTAAATCCTCTTTAATACATTATCAGGGGGAAATAATTATTTAAGTATTGCCTTGACGTGGAATTCAAGGAGGAAATTTCTGTTCAAGTAGGTAGAGTATTTGTTGTTACCCTCCTTCCCAATTAAGCAGGACCAACAGTATATTGAATTGCCCAATAAAACAAACATCATTGTAAAATGCCAATATTATAAAAACCATAAGGAACAAATTAATTTGGAGAAATTCATCAATATTATTAAACAATTACACTTACTTTAGCTTTACTTTCTACAATTTTTCATTCTGCATATTTTTCTAGTGCAATATAGAACTGAGCTTTTCTTTATGAAAATCGGATCTCTGAAATTGAATCTTTGAAAATTGAAATCTTTTCAGATAAAAATTAGTTCTAATGTGAAACTCACTTCCTATTACTACAATGGGAAGTGAGTTTCACATTAGATCTAATTTTTATCTGAAAATATCTGATCATCTGTTTCACATCTTGCCACTTTACACGATCAATTTGAATCTTTGCCCAGTAAAGAGGAGTATAACTTAAAATCTTTACATTTATGTTCATTGATATTTCGAAAAGATTTATTGATATCTCGAAAAGAAAAATGGAAAACTTATTTCTTAGTGAGTCAAAAAGAAGTGAACAAGAAAATTTTCACGAGGCTCAAGATAATTTTCTTAATAAATCACTTTTGTATTACTTTTATAACAATTCAATAGTTTCGTAACTTTCTGAGATATATCTTTTCAAATGCAGACGAATATCCTTTGCAAGTAGTCAAATAAGCATCACCCCAATACGGGTAACGCAGCAGTCAATGTGTGTTAAAGGGTTTTCTGTAAGCGCGGATGTGATTTACATTTAGCAATCATATTTATATCTTGGGCAATATCCCAAGTTTTCAGAACACTGATAAAATATTTAAAGGATTTACTGTAATTAGGTGATATTTACCTTTGGCCATCAAATTCAGAGCAATATCTTTTAGGCCCCCACGTAATTCAACTCTGACAGACTCCAGTAGAAGTTGAGGATCCTTTGGATTTTTCAATCTTGCTTTTTCCAACACTGAACGTGCTTTGATAAGTGCACCGTTTTTCTCTTCCAATCTCGATAACAGTAACCATAAAGAAATCGAAGATGGACATTTCTTTATCTGTGGGTAAATAACAATATAACAAAAACTGAATTTCAAAACTCAACTCACAAAATGAAATTTTAAATTTAACTTACACCTTGATTATAAACATCTCTTGCATCATTTATGTTCTTTTCTTGTTCTAAAATTTGTCCTCTCATCATCCATAGTTTTGCAAAATCTGGATATTGCCTAATACCTTCATCCAACAATATATTTGCTTTCTTAAGATCACCTAAAGCCCATTCTAAGCGAACTGATTTCATTATAACCTGCAATATAATAATACAGTTTAAAATTAATACAGTAGAACCCTGATTATTCAATGTCTCTTTCAACATATGCAAAAAGCATCCTGACACATGTTGCATCATTATTAAAGCTGATGTTACCCAGTCACTGATACATTTTTGAACCTTCTTTCACTAGATCCAATATTTAATTCTATTTAATCCAATTACAGTTATTACAACAATCTCCTATTTCAACAGCTAGAAAACAACAATAGAGATGTTGAAACTGTCAACTAACAACTTATCACTGATCAATTGGTTACGGATAGTAACCAACTGCAATGCATTTCATTTCAAAGTAAAATAGAGTAAACAGCTGGCTGCCATTAAAAACCATGATATTACGTTTTTGAGTGATTTATAATACTCAAGTGATTTTGCCTTCGGCTTACAAACAGAAATCAAAAAATTATCATTGATTTTTTTCCATCAACTTTGTATTGTTACTTATAACAGAAAAGTCAAACACAAGTAAGGGTTTTTATTAAACTTTTTTAGTTGCTAATTGTTTTGAGTAGTTTTAAATATGGCTTAAAGCATTTATGCTCACAAACCAGATTTTTAAAAAAAGCTCCCCCCCCCCCTACTACTTGATGATATTGATTTTTGGACATACTCTCAGTCCCATTAGTGTCAGATGATTGGGAAACTACTGTAAAAATAATTAAAACTACATTACGAAAAATGAAATGCATTTATTTACCCTATTACAAGGACCCTATTTACTTTAAGAATTACTTACTGCAATTTTAAATTTCACAATCAAGAGAAAACGTTTTATCGCAGTATAAATACTTTTTACAAAATAATTTGTTAACTAAAAAATCTTGAATTCATAAAGGTATAAAAAAAATAATTATGAAATTAGGTGGTACAATTTAGTAAATTACATTTAACCAAAAATTCATACTGAATAAATCAATATTTTACAAAGGGAAAAAAAACACAACTATGAAAAGTAGGGATTCTTCATAAATTTTCCATTTCTATACTGTATTAAACTGTTATTGATGATTTGTAAGCCTTATCCAAAAAGTTGTCCAATTCCTTTTTATTAAAAAAAATAGAGCTTTGCTTTCATGTTCATGCAAGTCATTTTTATCTTATTGCAAAATTGGTACAACTTTGACTTATTTATTTAAGATCAAAAAGAAAGTAACAAAAATCAGATAGGTTAAACAATTTCCTCATTAAGCTTTAAGGCTCTACATCTTAAAATAAACTAAAGTAAAATTGTTCTATTATTCAAAAACGGTAATGTGCCAAATATTTGAACAGTTACCTGATTTTAATTTTTTATTTTACTAATTAAATAACAAATGGCACAATAAAGTAAAAACTGCAGAAACAAAAACATTTATTAAAATCCGAATTTAAAAAACAGGGATGAGATTAGCCAAAACGCAAAAAAGCTGAATTTCGACGATAGTAAATTTTACGCAAGCGCAACCCTTTAATAACAAATTCCAGACAGTTTAAGGTAATAAATAATGTGTTGACATACAATTGTGTACTAATCTATTATTATAAAAACGATTACATTGATACTTAACATTTAGTGGAAAAAAAATTACTAATTGAAAAAATAAAGCTGGAAATTATATTTTTCCTCAGTTCACATAAGAGACAATTATTACTTGAAAAACTACCTGGTTTAGCAAATTAAAACTACTGAGAATATACATTAATATTTCATTTCTTTTAATAAATACTGTTATGTGATTTATAGCAAATATATCAGTAATATTACTTTTTAAATTATATTGGAAAAAAAAACTTTAACAATGGACCGAATCATTATGTTCATATTATAGTCTAATCTAACTAGAGCCCTCTGAAACATATCAATAACAGTGAAGTAGAAATATATAGTAACTCCTTAACATACAAAAATTGCTATTTTAGTTTGAAAAATTACATGACAATCAGCAACTGTTTAGATAATTGTTTTTTATTTGATAAGAATTTTGCATTTTATAGCATAAATAACAGCAATTATAAATAAAATTTTGATGATGAGTTAATTAACTCTTTTTCCAAAAAAAAAAAAATTAAATTAAATCCCTTTTTAAGTGATTGCTTTTGTTTGCTATATCTTTTATGTTTGCTATATTTAGTCGTTAGTCCATCTTCAAACATCTTGTGACAAATCCTATTTTTTCTTCTTTGCAAGCACAGAATGTAAGTTTTGAATATATTCCCTTCCAGTTTCTCTGATGTTGTAACACTTACATATACTAATAATCGTCGTTAGAAAAACAGTCACCTTTATAGTAACTAATTTAAAAAAAAATTTACTTCTTACAAGAATCGCGATAGTTGATCTTAAAATTGCGTGAATATGAATAACAATTATGGATTTTGAAATCACATGAATATGAAACTAGATATACGATTTTGAAAATGAGAAAATACAAACTGGGATATAGAATTTTTAAAACGCGTAAATACAAATCACGATTCATAATTTTTAGATAGCGTAAATACGAATCATGATGCGTAATTTTTAGATTGCATAAATAAGAATTATGATGCATAATTTTTAGAATGCGTGAATGCGAATCCCAATGCCTTATTTTAAAATCACGTATAAATACGAAAATCAATGTTTGATATTATAAACCGCATGAGCAAATCAACACATCGAATTTGAAACTTGCGTGAATACGAATCGCTACATAGGTTTTTAAAAAGACGTAAATACGAATTACAATATCGGATTTTTAAATCTCGTAAATAAGAATCGCAACGTACAATATTCAAATCGCATGAATAAGAATCGCAACACACAAATATGAAAAGCTATGTGTGATATTAAAATCGATTGAATAAGAATCGAAATATTAGCAGATTCCAGGTTTGGGACCTCTAAAAGGTTTGTCAGAAGCAGCGCCGTTTGAACTACGAAAATCGGATCTATCTGGAGGGTGGGTAAAAAATTCGAAAAATCTTATGTGCTGCGTGTAAAAGGGGAGAAAATAGGTAAAATCAGTAAAAATGAGAAAGGATGGAGCTATGTAGTTTGAATTTTCTGTTTCTCTTTGAAAATCGGTGAATTTTCTGAAAAAGCGGAATACTTATTTAAAAAAATGAAATTTTTAGAAAATCTGAATTTTTGATAAAAAAGCTGAAATTTAAGAGATAAAAGTGAAAAAAGCGGAAATCCGCTAAAAAGCGGAAAAATCTCATCCCTGAAAAAAAAAAAAATTTTTAAATTAAACGCATTTATACAATTTTAAAAAATTTAAGAGAAAAATTTTAAAAAGAAAATTTTGACTGAAATGACTAACACTTAGAATGTGATAGATAATAGACTTTATTGAATTTTAAAAATATAATAATAAAGAAAAGTTCACATATAATATAGATAAATACTCACTCTAGCTGTTGGAGCACTAGCCCTAGCTTTAGCTAGTAGACGTCGAGCTCTTTCAAATTCATTATTTTCACTTTCCAGCTTAACAGCAGCAAGCCAAATTTCTTCACTATTAGGATTTGCTTGGAAAGCCAATGATAAAATACTACGAGCAGCTGGAACGTCACCCTAAAATTAAAAAATGTATTCTAAAAGAAATATAATTTTTATAAAATGACGAAATAGATGTATCTGTGATACTGAATACAGAACCAGTTATAGACTCAATTATTCCTTTTTTTTTATGGGTTATAGATTAAAACAGGAGTCAGAAAAGTATGGAAATAGTAAAATATCTCAACAAATACATATTGGAGCAAAAATCTTAAAAAACTCATGTAAATGTTTTGAAAAAAGATACATTTATTAATAAACTCCCCAACCTCATTTGTGGGCAGGGCAAGGAACAACTTTAAAACCTCATGTATGCATCCTTATTTTTAATTGTAGATCTAGAATCCTCCAGAAAAAAATATCACAATTTGACCAACTGGTTTCAGTATTTTGGTTCAGAGACGACAATAATATGAGATAATGTATGCAATCACAGATTGCACAATAAAAGTGGGGTACAAATTGTAAAAAATGAAATTGAGAAAAACAATTCGGATCATCATATAAAAATAATTGAGTTTGAAATTTTAAAAAACATGCTTAATATCAAAATCAACCCAAATCCCCAAAGAGTTGCCTCAGCCATGGGACATGGAAAAGTTTGGGAAACATTTTTTACAGAGAAATTTTGAGATTTTTTTTCCTATAGAGTGGCTCACCTTGGGACATTTTTAATTTTGGTCTGAAATTTCAAATTATATTTTAGTTCCTTTAGATTAAGATATATGTCAGCATCACCTAACCTGGGAACATATTTTGATTCCATTGATTAAGCAGTAAAGAACTTATAGGAATTTTTATTTTTTGAAGCATGCTTATTTACATTTATATAAAAGTTTAATTAGCTGTAGAAAGAAATTTTAATAACTTTTTTCTTTTAATAATGGGTAATATAATGAAGTATAAAGCTTTGCCTTATCAGTTTTGAGAAGAATGAATCAATCTGCAACATTTATTTATCCCGAAAAAGAAGACAATTATATGTACTAGGGACATATTATATACATAGATTCAAATGACATTTCGTTAAAACTTAAGCAGAGCAAAGCCTTGAACGTTCTTTAGGTTTGATATTTGATTCTGAACAATTGGATTTGCATACAAGAAGGTTGAAACTAACAAAATAAAACTCTATTAACAAATTTAAATTTATTTAGTTATACTATTTTTAGAAAATTTCTACTTAAATTTTCACATCCTTTTAACTGTCCCAAGGTTCCCCACTAGGAGGTACACCCAGGGACAAATAACAAGATAACTAAACATTTCTTTTTTAAATTTTCTATGACAGATACAAAATCAAAACCTAGTTAAAAATGTCTTCAAATGTTACAAGAATACCAGGTAAAATTTTGCCAATAATTGATCAAAATAAAAAAATTAAAATAAAAAAGTGTCCCAAGGTGAGCCACTCTCCCCTACATGCTTCTTGATAACATTTCCATACTTTTAGGACACCCTGTACTCTGTCAAACAGCTTTGAAAATATAGAATTTTAAAACATCGCCACTCAATTGAGCTAATAAGAAATAATAAGTTTTAGAAAAAACTTACAGTAAGCCATTTCGATTTTGCACCCATCAACCACAAAACTTCAGCTTTGGGGCAATGTGCTACAGCACGCTGTAAGACTGCTTCTAAAGATTCCCTATAATTAAAAAGCAAAATAAATGGAAAACAAGAGGGGAAAAAATATATCATTACAAAAAATTTGCATGTAATAATGACACGTGAAAAAGGTGAAACTTTTTATTATAACATTTTCTTTCCCAGTTTTTTTTTTTATTTAAATATAAATCTTGTTTTTACTTCAATTTCTTATCACACATTTTCTTTTAATAACCACAGAATTGAAAATTATTTGGGTAGTAACAAAAGTAATCTTAACAAAATTCTTTTAGACAAAAACATATGTTCTAGTAAAAAAAAGTTTTATCCTTGCAACAAGACATTTAGAAAGATTGAAATAAAAAAATTTTTATTTGTGGTGGTTTTTGATAGGCCTACAAGGATTTTTGGGACAATAATTACATAAGAGGTCAATTCCAGTAATTATATAGCAGAGCTTTCCAATTTAGCTATTGGTAATCAAAAGTACAATGATACATATAACATTAACAAAATTCAAATTAGTGCGATATTTAGGTCTTTTTACTATTTGATTATATACACCTGATATTAACAATAAAATGTCTGAATTCACTATTAAATTTAAAAAAACAACAACACAACAAAATTTTATAACACTTGATAATTAAAGAAATAAAATAATAACTTATACAAAATTATTCTGAAAATTCTCAAAACCCATCATTTTTATTACTCAACCGTAATTTTGACTAAACAATCATAATAATTACAGATTCATCATAGTTGGCAACCCTGTATAAGTATCAACAATTGGCAAAAGTAATAATTTAAACAAAGTGGCTAACCCTTATAATGGGGTTTCCTATTGTGCTTTCCTTAAACCAGAATTAATTCAGTGGTATTAAAAATAATCTTAAAAAACTACCATAATGGCCTTAGTAATAGGTGATATACAAAATAAAAAAAGTACACATACACAAAATAAAAACATATAATAAACATATACAAATTAAAAACATAATATTGATAATAATTGTAATACTTAATAGGTTTTTAAATATTGTTTTAAACTACACATGGTTAATTACATTAGAATGAAATATTACTAGTAATAAAATTTGCACAACAGCTCTTATAAATAATTTTTTTATTTGGCTATTTAACTTGAATTAGAAAAAGAGCAATTGAGAAAGCTATAACCTTCGATTTTATGTATATTTAATTAACCTACAACAAAACACTGTAAGCAGCAGCAGGTTGTAAATTACTTGAACTCAAATCTTTTAAAGAAGCATGCAAAAAAAGAAAGAAAAAAAAAANAAAAAAAAAAAAAAAAAAAAAAAAAAAAAAAAAAAAAAAAAAAAAAAAAAAAAAAAAAAAGATTTTGAATCATGATTTGATACACACATAAAAAAAACTAAACAGAATAATGACAAATGAAATTTACCTAGTGCCATGATTTTTCTCAAAATAGGCTGCACGCAACCAAATACTCTTCTTACTTGGAAACATCGACAAGGCATGAGCATAAATTGCCCTAGCACACTCATATGCTCCCTGTGTAGCACACTGCAAGAAAACATTAAATAAGCCAAATATGCAATGGGATTTTTAAAATGAGCTGCCTTTAACAGCTTGGATGTCTTTACAAAGCCAAAACCTCAAAGTTCTTACTGGCATTGTGTCTATATAACACTTCAAAAATTACTACAAAAGATAAAAAAATAAAAACGTCAAGTGCAAGAAACATGAAGTCTTTTATTTTTTTTTAAGGAAAGTTTAAATTTCATGATGTTCAGCACACAAAAGGATCAATCCAAATAAAATTACAAGACAAATCTTAGGGTGAGGAATCGGTGACTTATGCAAAACCAAATAAAAGAATCATTGAGTGCTGAAACATCCAAATTTGAGTTTTTTTTAAAAAAAAAAAACAAGATTGGCATTAATGGCCATCTAATTAATATTCTTAACACTAATGGCCCCATAGTCTTGAATAATGTAAAAAATTGTAAATTTAAAATAAATATAACAAATTTATAAAGATTTATAAAGAAAAATATAATATTCCAAAAAAAATTACCGCCTCAGCATCCTCCATCCAAGCATGTTTACGATCTTCATCTTCCACTCCAATTCCAATAATTGTACGTACAATAGATTGACACGTGAGAACAGACCCTGCCTTCTCACATTCTATAGCATCAGTCAACCATTGTTCTCTATTTATTTCCACGCCATTCGCACGCAAAGATGTCACAGCACGATCGACAATTTTTTCAACCATTCTACTATTACCATTGGCTTCCTCCAACTTGGCAGCAGTTATCCAAATCAAGCGATCAGTGGGAATATTCTCACGTGCTTTATTCAAAACTTTACGAGCATTTTCGTAAGTTTCGAGCCTAGCCAATGCCAGCCACAAATCTGTGTTAGTTGGACAGCATTCCACGGCTCTGCTCAAAAGAATTCGAGCATCTTCAGCATCTTCTAATTCTACAGCTGCCTTCCATAATCGTACAGAATTGGGAATATGTCCTAAAGCCTAAAAAAAGATATATTTTTCACTATTTACTTAGAACACATTTTATGAAAATATTATGCAAAAAATTAAAATTTAAAAAAGATCTTGCATAAACCTCATGGAAAACAGATTTCGGTGGATTTAGCTGAGATGTTTAATACATTGTTCCAAGGATAGCTAGTTTAAACCAAACTTTTATTTAAACAAACATTTTTTTAAAAAAAATATTTTTATTAATAAAATTTTCCATTATTTATATAAATTTCGTCCGCTAGAATGTAATCAAGTGAAAATGATTAAGTTTTCTCCGATTTTTATCAATTTTGAGTATAATTGCTAAAAGAATCTGTACCATTTTAAATTAACATAAATCTGAAATTTTTGAATGTTTACATAGAATTGAGTTTCTACAAAAGTACGTCTAAAAAATAAATTAATGTGAATAAATTTAAGATCTAGTTTAGTGTCTCTTCATGCTTAAAATTAAAAAAAAAGATCATCACTATTTGGATGTATCACAACACGAGCATTTCGAATTTCAGGCACTACTTCATGAACTGCAAACGAAAATTTTATCGTAATTTCATATCGTTTATTAATATGATTTTTCTGACATTTTCAACATGGGTTTTCCAATTTTTGATATTTTTAATACATTATTCTGACAATAAAATTTTGTATTTAAATAATGATGTTTTGACGAGCTTGATTCAATGAGCGGAGAAAATACGCTTAACTTGTTTGTCAGATAAGCATGTTTTTTCGACATTTAGGGCAATCACAAAATTGCATTGGCTGTTCAATGACGATTACAAAAATATTCTTAGATTTCGAAAAACAAAGTCGGAATTAAATAATAAACGTTTTTTATATTGTAATCCCATAATTGTCAAGACATCAATTTCCATTTAATTTCGACTATGTCAAATGAATACATATAGAGCATTAAAAAATTTTAGTAATCAAGGACATTTGCAACAGAGAAAAACCATTAAATATATGAAAAAACTTACTTTCTTGTAAACTTTCTTTTTAGCTTTTAATTCAGCTTCTAATTCAGCTGCTTTGATCCATGATCTCACAGACATTGGAATATGGCGTAAAGCTTGAGAAATAACACCTTTTGCCAAATCAGGAGGCTAAGAAAGAATTTACTAAATATTACACACCAAAAAATAATAAAAAAATAGATGAAATTAAAGCATTCAGTTTAATAAAATAAAAAACTCAAAAAAACTTACAATTATTAAAATCAGGGTGTGCAGCCAAATCTTTTAACAAGAAATAAGTACCTTTTAAGCACTTAAATATATTTAAGCACTATATACATTAACAAAATGCAAAATAATTTTCAAAGACTTTGCATGATCACGATAAAATAACTAGTTTCTGATAAAGAACATTTTTCTTGATTATATTGGCCACAATAAAAAGATTGAGAGATTTTTTGGTTTGATTTCAGAGGACGGAAAATAAAGCCTGAAATCATGAATATCTCGCAAAATGCAGCAGAGTTGCACATGAGAGTGCAAGAAACTTACTGAATCCAGCTCAGTATACGCGCACACGCAGACCCGCTAGTACTTCATCAAACATGTAAAATAATTGCCGGTTTCATGCGCTACTGACTGATGGCATGTGAAAATGTATTATAAAAAAGTTGAATAGAACAATATGAAAACCACACTTTTGCATAATATGTGGCAAAAATAGAAATGGTAAAGAAAAGTACCTCATTTTTTAAAAGGTATATTTTAAAAACCACTATTTAAAAATGCCTAATAAAAAAAGCACCTTAAAGGGTTTAAAAAACGAAAATCGGAAAAAAGCACCTTTAAGCACTTTTTAAAAACGCTATGCACCATGTCAAATACATAAGAATTTTTAACTTTAAATTTATTTGAAGCGAAAAATAAAAAAGAAATCCATTTTCCAAAATGCAAAACACCGAGTAAGGATGAACAGAGTATATTCAACAGCGTTTGATGATAGTTAAATTTTCCCAGGAAGAGAAAAATTTTATATTGATCTTTTTTCTCTTCAGAAAATACATCATTTGACAAAAATTAGCAGAAATAAACGATAAAAATGAACAGTTCCTTAAGCTAAAATCAAGGTTCAATGACCATTCAATTGAAAGATAACTGCACAACACTTCTAGGATACTGTGCATGAACTGTTTAGGGCAATAAAAACTAGAATAATAATTTAGAAACATAAACTTGCATCTAATTTGCAGTCTCATAAGACACATCTTAGTAATGACTAAATGCATTTTATAAATTCCTTATACTCCTTTTGAATTTTAGAAATCAAGATTCGGCTAATTATATTTTAAAGCAAATTAAAACAAACTGTATTTAAAATTAAGGGGTAAGCAGTTGATAAGTAGCAGAACAGAAGACACCGCAGTATTTCATTAAAAGAAAAATAGCAACAGAAGCAAAAGACAATTGAAGATAGATCTTCTATTTTAGTATCAAGTAAACATAATGAGCAATTAACACTTAATCTATAAGATTCAAATGATATGCAAGAAAATTTACCTGTAATCGAGCTGCTTCCAGCCAAACATCTTCAGATTTAGGACACATTTCACACCCCATCATGATAAGATTTCGAGCAGACTGCAACTTTCCTGTTACTTCCTCTAACCTAGCTGAGGCTATCCAAGCTACATAAAATGAATTAATAATCTTAGTAACAATCAAAAGCTCAAAACTAATGACTTATTTATCTTCAAACTTAAAAATATATTAGTAAAAAAAAAAGTTTCAAAAGGGATAGTTTTATTTAAAAGTGCTTAGGTAGTTTATTAATGCTTACAATAATAAAATAAACAAAACAGATGAGTAAAAAGCAACAAGTCTTAAAAAGTAATCAGTCTTTAAAAATATAAAAATTATGAAAATTTTCATAGGATTTTATATTTAAAAAGAATTTTTGAAAATTTTTTAAAAATAAAAATGGGCAGTGTTAATTCATTGACAAACTGAATTAAGAGCAATCTCCAACTTTAAAGAAAGTCAAACAATTAATTTGATTACAAATTTTTTTTAATTTTTTTGTTAAGCTTATGTATAATATATTACCACTTTGTTTTTTTTATGGAATTAATAAGCTGATACAGTTAGATGAAAATTAGAATTAATATTAAGAGCTACAATTAGGCAAAATATTAAAAAAAAAGTTTAGGGTAAAATAAAAATTTGTCAGGTGGACACAAAAGAGTATATATTATTTGTTATTTTTTTATTTTCTGTTAAATTGGCTAATGACATTTGAGAGCTAAATAGGAAAAAATTACTCAAAAACAAAAAGTATAATAGAAATAGTTCAAAAAAAAAATTTATTACAAACCTGGTGGATGATTGGGATTTGTTTCTCTAACACTTTTAAGAAGAAGTCTAGCTTTTTTAATGTCACTGAAAAATAAAATTTAAAAAAATTCTTAACTCAGGGTATAAAACTATTTACTGAATACATTAGATATGATGAAAATCATATGAAAAATATTAAGAAATGAGCACTTTTATGAATGGATGAATAAAATAAATTGATATTGAAAAAACAATAATCAGAGGTGTTTATTTTTGCATCATTCTAAAAAATGAAAGACATGATAAATACTGTATATTTTAAATATAAGCAAAAAGTACAATTTTTTAAATTTTTTTCTTCTTTTGAAAATTAACCCACAATTTGAAACTCATACATAAAAATAAATTCATTTAAAACAGTAAGGCATACTATATTTTTGAACTTTCTCTTTTATTTCTCGTTCTGTTACCCAGCCTTCTAAGTTTATTTGTTCAGAAATAAAGTCCCACCAATCCATTCCTTCCGAGGGTCGGGATAGCCTGGTCGGTAAGGCGCTGGGCCCATATCCAAGAGGTCGTGGGTTCGATCCTCGCCGACCGAAGACTCCCCGTGTAGTAAATGGTGACTGATGCACGTTAAATCTGTCGAGTCTAAAAGTCCTCCATGTTCCCACAACAAATCAATACCTCTGGGGGTACTGATCCAGGAGTTTCCTTGTCTTCTGGATTGGTTCAAAATTACAAGGCTACGGAGTTGAACGCAAGTAGTCGTAAACCCATGAAATTGGGTCGGCTGTTCAACGACGGTTATAAAATAAAATAAAATCCATTCCTTCCAGTTTTTGTTTTCCCTCTCTCTTTTTTGAAAACCTTTCAACTTACCAGTCCAGATTGAGGCCATCAGCAAATGAGTTAGACACTAACAGCTTCAGCTACGTAAATTCTAAAAACAGCATGTTTAAATTTTTTCATGCTGTTCTAATCATTTTCTGATTTATGAACAAAAATAAGTGGTAAAACAAAATATAATTTAAAAAAAATTCCTTTCCTATTGTGTTTTATATGTGCTTAACATCCAATTGTTCTTTCAATATTTTATTTTCGCCGACTGGTCTGTGTAGGGGTAAGGGAATTGGCCTTGCATCCTAAAGGTTCTGGGTTTGAATCCCAGGCAGAGCATTAATGTTCTTTCCTTCTCTGTACTATCTGTCCTTACTGTGGGAGCAACGCTGGCCCACCTCATATGGTGCCCCTGAAAGAGTGGCCAACAAATCTGCCCTTCAGATGCCTATATGACGAAAGGTCATTTTGCAGGTGGGCATTGGAGAAAAAAAGCATTTTATTATCAATTATTAAGTATTTATACTTTATAATTAATCACTAATGCCGGATCAATGTAAAAGTATTTTTGTTAGCTATGTTAACAAAGAATTTTGCAAAGTAAACAGATTCAAATATAAGCAGACTATCCTTTAGCTTTAGAATATTTTCCAAAAAGTCTGTTGGAAATATATGGTAATTTAAATGTAATCAAATAATTTACGAGTGGAAAATTTTTGCAAAACACAAAAATAAAAATAGGAACTATTCATAAAAAAAAGAAAAATTCTGTGTTCCCTTATTTTAATTTATATAAAACACTCTTGCAACAGATAGCTATGGAGATGGTATACAGAATTTTAAGACCAATGAAAAAAGACACTATTTATTAAGACAAGGTCCATTGTGGGTTGTAGTCCTTCGAAATAAAGAAGAAGGCCAATGGCATGATGATGGCAATGTGGACAGCATTGCACATCAGATGCCTTTACTACCCAGATAAGCTGGTATACATTGATATGAAACAAGGTGAGCGTTCAGCCGCCACTAAGGATAGAACCCTGGTCCTACAAAATGACCTCTCAGTGCCTTAATCGCTATACCAGGTTCACAAAAGGCAGGATGTACTTCAGATGCATCAGGTATGATTGACTCTTTTGTGCAGTGTTGATGCATCCATTGCCTCCAAACATCTAACAAATTTTTGAGCATCTCCTGTAAATGTGTAACATGTATCGGAATACAAAGAAATAAAATGACTTTGAACAATTTCCTTTTATTGACCTTTTATAGTAAATTCGCAGCCCCCTCTAGTGGCTCTGGTTAACATTTGTGACCCCACATTTCTACGTGATTTATTATTATTTTAGTCAGTCTCTTCATTTTTGGTTATGGTTTTTTGAAGCAATCTGAATATGTATCTGATAAATAAGCAATATTTTTTCTTAACTTCATAATTTTAGAGGTGAAATTTCTATATTATGTACACATATCCTGCAATATTGATGATTTACTTTGATGTGAATGAATAATAAAAAAAACAATAAATAAAAGAATACAAAATAAAGAATGAGAAAAAGTTTAAAAAAAACTTAAACCATTATCTATTTAAAAACAAATTGCTATTTATGACCATCACCTGATATCAGCACCATGAGCAGGAATCATCGACTGTAAATCTGTTAGATATCCCTTAGGATCAATAACGGTTTGCCCACATACAGAATCAGAAACCTAAAACAATATAAATAAAAGATAAAAAACAACAAATAATTATTTCTTACTTAAAAAACAGTTATTAAATTAAACATAGATCTAACTTAATAATGACAATTACCTGATTCAGCTTGATGTCCATTAAAGCATTTCTAGCTTGACCTATCTTTCTTAAATCAAGATCTACACTTGAAGTAGCCCAACCAGGGGTCATGATGCCACCTGGGGTATTTGTGCCAGGGTATGGGGTTATTAATCCCCCACCATATCCCTATAAACAATGAAAACAGATATACTTTAAATAGCAACGTAATAAAAAAAATAAGACAAAAACAAACGTTGTTATATAGAGAAGTGATTGTATTTATTACGTTCATCAAATAGAAAAAAGAAGAAGAAAAAGAAAAGAATGAGGGTTAATAGCTCTTAAATGCCATTCTATTATTTCTGTACCAGGTGTCCTGAAAATGATCAGATATGAAAAATCAATTAAAAAAAATAGGGATATAAAACTAACCCAGATAATTTATTCACCACAAATTTTAAACTTTAAAACTTTTTTGACTGCATTCGTACAAAAATATTCCAATTCCAAATAAAATATTTCCACATGAATCCATTAATTTTGACCTCAGACTTCAACACATAATTGACTTAAACGGTGATTATTTTAAAAACATTGTTTTATAGTTTTTATCAATTAGCAGCAGCATCTGTTCGCAACTTATTAGGAAACTGAACAAGAAAGAATAAACGCCTGGTTTGCTCAGCAAAGTCCCACAAACTATGCATTTTTATCAACTTCCAATTTACATGAATGAAATTGTCAAATCTTTGATCATTTTTGGTACACACAATATATGTATTCTCTACAACACATAATTCTCAGTCATTGTATCAGAGCAAAACTTTAGTTACACATTTTAAACTATTATATAAAACTTATATCTAATTTTTATAAAATCCCAAAAAATTCAATATTCTAAATCATCTCACACATTTAAATAACAAGAAAAATACAGTTTTAGTTTCTATTGCTTTGTCAATTCTAGCAGAAACTAAATACAATTAATGTTCGACATAACGATCTTATTGGTCCAAGGCAAAATTGGATGTCATAACATGAGGTTATTATATCATGAGTGCACAAAAATAGTGTAAATATTAACTAACAGATAAAAATACTTGATCAATTTTAAAAAAATATTTTAGTTTAATAAAATTTTATAACTAATAGAAAGATCAAAAATAATGCAACTTAGTCTACAAAGGTAAGTTAATACGTAAAAAATTAATATTTTTTTCTAGAATTCAAAAAAGCAGAACTTTCTTTGAAAAGGCAAAATTTTTCCTTTTATTAAATAGGAAAAAAACAAAAAAGAAACTCTTCTCTGGAAAATTTTAATAGGAAAATCATCACAGACTGAATTACCTGCTGTAAAGTATCAAGAGAGGAAACTCCATCTCCAGTAATTCCTGCTTTAGCCAAAATAGAATCTGGTACAGGTGTATATCTAAGATCAAATTAAATACAATTATTCACCTTTACACAAATCTTAAAATAAATCATGCAGAATGCAGAAAAAACATCTTAACTAAAATTCTCCATAAAATTGGAAGAATATAATTCTTAAAAAATCTATTTAAAAAATATTTTTAATTCTTCAAAATAACTAAATAAATTATTCACCTATTTACACTATTCTACTTGGTTCTATAAACCAAGATAAATAAAAGTCAACAATACCAATTAATTGAAATACATACTGCCGAACCATTACTGTTCACTTTGTCCCAAGAGTCGGAAAAAAGTAATTTTTTACAGTAGCAATCAAAATATTAAGAAGAAATTCTTTATATTAAAAAAAATAATTCTCTTTAAATGAGTTAAAATATTCAAAACAACTTTTTTTTTTCAAAAATGACTTTTATGATTGTATTACATTATGTCATACAATTTAAAATGCATTTTTTTAATGCGTGAAATTAATTAATAAATATTTTAAGAAATTTATATTATTTAATTAGGTAATAAGTATTATAAGAAATTTATTAATAATTTATTTCAAAATTCCTTTATAACTAAATTATAGCCAGTTTTTCAATCATTTTATTAAAATAACTCACATAAAGGGTACTTTTACTCATTGTTTAAAACCCAATGATATTTCATTGAAAAAAAATTAGGGGCTCCTGTAGCTTTAAGTCCAACTAATAAACAAACTTTTTACAATGCTTTCTTTTTCAAATGACCATTAAAACACATCACTCATTTACTAAAAACACACATTTGTGACAAATATTGCACTGAAAACTTTAGTATTAATATTTCCTACTTTACAGTTTATATTTAGCAAAAAAAATTTTAAATTTAACCAAAAAATTATAGATAATAAGAACACTAAAAAAAATAGGAAGTATAGAATTATGTGTATCCTTTTTTTTATTATCACTTCAGATTCAAAAATATGAGAGATAAACCCATAATATAGAACTTATATTAATTATGACAGACAATACCAGTCAATCAGAAAATTATTAAACGTCAAAAAATAAAATCATAAAAAATTCATAATTATAAAATATTCTATTTTGTATGAAAAATTTCATGATTTAGTTAAAATTAACAATATTTCATGATTTAGTTAAAATTTATGAGGTTAGTTAAAATTTAACAATAATTTAAAATAAGCTATAGGGCATAAATTCATACTTTTCTGGTCTTGGATTTCTTTGCCTTTTATTTCGAGCATCTCCTACTTCTGGAATGTTTTTCCATTCATCTTCAGTAACTTCAGCCAAATCTCTCTGAGAAAAATGAATACAAAATAAAATTATTCATTTGAAAAACATAGAATTAGTCAATCTAAAAATAAAAACTTAAAAAGCTGAAAATTAAATTACCTTTAGATCAGAAAACTGCATTTGAATCTTTGGCCTCTCTTGACGATATCTTTCTAATTCCACCTTTAATTTGGTTTCTCTAAAAACATTGCAAATTAAACATCCTCAAATCAAATCATTTAATCAAATGATTAGTTGCAAGAAAATTGGTGAAAATAACTATTTATTTTAAGAAATTATATTAAAATAAATAAGAGTCAAATAGCAAACTCAAAGAGAAGAAAAAAATTAAGCAGAAAAGATTCAAATTTATTATAGTGCTTTCCCTAGCATTTTTAGAAAGGTGGCCCACTCTGCCTGTTCTTTCTCAGAGGCAAATGCACACTCCTTGCCCTTTTTGTAAAAATGCTGTCGCTTTTTTCGTTTTTTTAAAAAAAAATCTTTTTTTTATTTTAAGAAAAGAGATAGCAGTTAGCAGAAACCAGGATAGAAATTTTGCACACTTTGCCCCTAATTAAACCATATCAGGTTTGATATCATATCAGGGTTCTAAAAAGAAAAATTAGTCATATATGTAATTTTTTACAAAATAGAAATTTCATAAACATTTAGCTTTCAAATACAAGCCTTTTTTTTTTCCTTTTTTTTTTTAAATTTCTCCTTAAAAGAAAAGACTTGAAATTATGAGAAACGTAAATTTTCTGTCAACTTTGAATTTTTTATGTTATAGTTTCATTTAATTTTTTTTCAGTCTTTTGAAATTAATTTTAAAATATTTTTAAATTTTTTTATGTAAGTCATTTAGGTTTTTCGAATAACATTGATTTACAAAGCAATGATTGTACATTCCCTTTCAGCTCCCAGGCTGCAGGTTGTAAACCCTAGACTAGAACAAAAAATTCTAAGCAAAATAGAACTAAAATAACAAACCTATATTCTTTTCGTTTTTCATCCATTCTTTTATCTATGGCTTCATAAATAGCATCAGCTTCTTCATCATCTTTATCATATGGATCCTTACTAAACAAACTACCACCATAGCCAGCAAACTAGGAGTAAATATTATTTTCATAAATCATAACAAATTATAAGAAAGTTTTCAAAGTGGGAGAAAGAAAAGTTTGTAATTTTGAAACCTATGCATACTTCATCATAATTAGAATCATTTAAATCTTCTTCATCCTCTTCTTCTTCATCCTTTTGTTGCATTTTTTTTCTCTTATTGGGCGGAGCATGTCGATCATCGCTAAGATTATAAATAGTAACTTTTTTTAAAAAATAAAGCTTTAAAATGCAATGCTATAGCAAAAATGCCTAATAGTTTTAGAGTATAAGTTGCAAAATTAAATATAAAACAATATTTTCTGACCTATTAATCTATTTTCTTTCAGAAAAGTAACAAAATAACAACGTATTTGTTCACAAAAAATTTAACCTTTATAAAAAAGTATATCAGATCATATCTTAAAATGCATAGATAAAGTGTCGTTCATTCAAAAGTGTTAGGAATTTTGAAACTCCCAAAATGGAATGAAAGATTTCCAGAAACAATTCACGATAAAAGATTACTTTCGGAGTATTGCTGACATATGGAGTCAAGTAAAAAAATGAAACCCTGGTCAATGCTTGGCATAAGGTTAGGCTGGCATCAATTTTTCATGGTGGGAATGAGAATAATAATAAATTTCTTGGCTTTCAGGTGTCTTAGAATTACTTGAGTATGAAAACTATTGTAAGTGCTACGAAAAACCAGGAAAAAGTTATAGAAGACTATTAAAATAAGGATAAAAATGTGCTAATGATGATCCAATCAATGGATGATAAGATTGTTAATGAAGTGCTCAACGAAAGTGATACTCATACATGTTCCAAGTCAGAAGATGATGATACAGAAAAGGTAGAAAACATTTTGTTTGATAATTGGATAGAGTTAACAAAAGAACTTATAACTGGAATGGAACAAATATCACTTTTTTAAATAACCCAACATTATGTCATTGTATAAATTACTATAAAACTTGATATTAGGAAAGCTAATGTATTTAAAACAAAGAAATATTAATGAAATGTTCAAACCTATAATACCCAGGGTACAAATATGATTGATGAGTTATTCCAACCAGTGAGAACTATTTTACTGCTGTGTTTTTCTCACTAGTTGGCATAACCTGACATTTTGCATTAACTGCTACTCTTGCAAGCGCAGCCATTTTATACAGCTAAAGAAAGTGTATTGTGAGAATCAGAAATGCATTTAGATTTTAATAAATAGGCTATTTGAAATTTTAACAACTTTTCTACTTGATCCTAACTCAAACTTAGCACTTATTTTATTTCCTATCAAAAATACTAAATATAATTCAACAAATAATTTAAAAGAAAGAAGTTATATGATAGAAGTATAACAGAATGTGAGGTTAGACAACAAACAAATGTAGATGTCTGTTATAGCAAAAGAAAATTTTGCATAAAATAAATAGTAATATAATTAACATTCTTCTTGTACATAATAATTAAATATGTATAGCTCAAAATACAGTTTATTAACTATGAAGTAAAATAAATCAAATAATTTGCTTACATATTTGAAAATAATGAGATAAAAATATTAAACACAAAATGGTGAGTAAAGTGTATTTAAAAAAAGTTGTATAAATAAGGTATACAAAGTTATTACAGCACAATTTTACTATCAAACTAAACTTAAATCTTAGATTATTTGAGAACTTTCAAATTCACCAATTAATAGATAAATAAAGGTATTTTCACTAAGATCAAAACATACATAAATATTGTGTATGATTACTTATTCATGATATTTTTATTTAGAATATAATTTATTCGAATAATAAAAAGAGAATAAAAAAAAATTACATGTTACAAAGTATTTTACTACTATGAGTTACCTTCTATAACACACTTTAAATAAAAATAATATGCACAAAAATGAAAGATCATGTAAACAAGAAAAACTAAATGCTAACTTACGGTACATCACTCGCATCTCGAGCAGGACCAATATCAGAACGAGTCGTGAAACCAGTAGCTCTGAAATAAATAAAAAAATAACATTACATAAAACAATTTAAAAGAGTTGGTGAATTAAGAATAATAAGAATATAATATAAAGAATATGAAATAAATCATTTAAAACTAAGCTCATAGTTCAAAAATATTTCTGTTGTCAATGAAAAATTTTTTTTGTGACTAATGTAAACATAGTTACAAAGTAGAGTAACACTTAAGTACACAAATGCAAAATATAGCAGAACAATGTATAGAACAATTTTTAAGAATTTGCCCATTTTTTTACATATTTCTAATACAATGTTATTCTATTGTACTTAATACTATAAAACAAAACAAAAAATATTTATTACACTTTATTCTTTAAAGACAAGCATTATTCAAAAAAATAATTTGGACTAATAAGCCTTTATCAAGGATGGTAAATAAAAGTGTTGTTAAAGAGATATTAATATAATTGATAATTTTTAAAAAAATCCATCATCTAGAAAAAAGACAGAAGATAACTTTAAAAATCAAGAATTCTTCCAAAAAGTCAAGAAGAATTGACAGCTATGCATGATACAAACTAATACTTTGAAATGAAATGTAATTGCATTTTGTGAAGGATGTTTTGTCTTCTACATTATTTTATTATTATTATGAATCCTGGAAATTTTTTGCTGCTGCTATGTTTTCACAATCTGACCATAAAAATTTGATTCAAACTCCTTTAGAAATTTCCCAGCAACCGATTTTTCAGAAAGTTTTTCCATGACCTGTCTAATAAAATTCAATTTGCTTTCATGAACAATGTAAATTGGACCATAATTTCTCTTCGAATTCAAGATTAGTGATAATGGAATTTCGAAACTTAAAACAGCTCCTTCTTTATTCATTTGATTTAGTATAATTTTTTATAAGTTTAATATTTTCATTTCAATTATGCAGAGTGCACTTCATAAGCATTTATTTTCCGCCTGATATCCTTTTACAGCTTCTCTAATTTAGAACTTGGCACAATTATACAAAATCAAAATAGTTCGTTTATTTTTAAATTGTTTAGAATCAATGAAAAATTACAAAGCATTGTTAAAGAATATTCAAGTCTCTAATATTTATTCATTTAAAGTTTAGTTACTTTCAACACAAATTAAGTATATCATTTTAAATCCTACAGATTCATCTATTTCATTAACTTGTTCACGACATAAAGCAACTATCGAAATTTTTCATGAGTATTTAAATGATAAATAATGAGGAATTTCAAGAAATAAAAAAATTATAAATGTTACTATTTTTAGCTAAAATATAATAAAAGTTGGCTTTCATATAAGTGTTAGTTTTAATTAATTAACCCATATTTAAAAAAAATATGGGTCCAATATCAATATTTTGAGTAAATGTCCTAACCTTTACTGCTACATATTTTTGCCTGTTATTCTGTGGATAACTATTTTGTTGTCAGATAAGATCAATTTATCAACATTAGTGGCTGATATTTAGGATGCAATTTATTTGAAAAATTTATTTATCTACTAGTGTATAATTTATGTAAAAAAAAATATCTATGAGTAAAAGAATAATATATATAGTGTTATTTACAGTTTTTATTTTAAATTCAAATTCTTAATCTGTTGTGTCCATAACGTCAAATTTTGTTAAAACATTCCTGTTTGGAAGAAAATGTTGATGGCAATATAAGAAGTGAAAGCTACAAATGATGCCTTTCTTATCATAAAAATATCACTTACTTCATTTTTCCATAGATATAATACTTGTTGATTGAAATTTTAAAATTAACATAATTATACTTCTCATTTTTTTTAAATATTTATTGTATTATGTTACTAAAAATAATTAAAGCAGAGCAAATACAAAAATTATATTGAAACATAAAATTTGATCAAGACTTTTAACTTCACATATTTTTGAGAAGAAATTAATAACTTAATTACTTTCACTGAAAATTATGTTTTAGCAAAATACTATTAAAAATCAAACAGCATAACAGTAAAATATATCCTTAAAAGCTAAATGATTCATCAGTAATTATAAAGTTTGAAATTTCAGCATTTCAATTTAATTTTGGTGGAACTACCAGATAAAAACATCACGTATTAATCACATAGATGGCTTACTTTAACCGAACTGTTTATAGAAAAAATAAAAAGAGGTTCAATTACCCTCTTCCAACACCAGCAACATAACCAAGAGGAGCTGGCACTCCAATAAAATGCTTTTTCTTTTGGCTTACTAAAACACTCGGTGGTGCAGCTGCTGCCATGATGACAACTCAGACTGAAAAATATAATATTAATTAGCATCAGATAATTTTCAGTTATACAATACCATAATCAATGATCAATCAAAATGAATTTGTAGACAAAATGTATTTTGTTTTGTATAGAATGTATCAATTGAATACGAAAAAAAAAATAGAAGTATAAGCCTAAAAACACATGGTCCATGCTCACAGGCAGTTAAAGTTTATCACTAAGGTCAGCTGCATAATCACTAAGGTGAGGATGTGGGTAGGAAGCAAGGGTTTAAGCTCTATGAAGTACATAAATGGGAGGTTAATTCCTGTACATGTGCACATCACCTCTCTGTATTTTTGTGCAATTTAGCGATAATCACTAGCAAAAATTCCCTACATGGAAGGGAAAAAATATAAGTTAGTAAGGATAGTAAAAATGGAACAAGCGTATGAAAATTAACTACACCATATGGCTGTGTAGAAAATAAAATATAGGAGGCCTTTTTGTTACTTTACAGTGTTTATGTTAAGGATACTAATTCAAATATTTTTTATGAGATATGAGAATTAAAAAATTATCTAAAAAGTGCTTTTAAAATGAGCAAAAAGAAAGAAAAATGTGATATATTTTCATATTTAAAGTCAGTGGTCTGTTTAGAAGAAATTTGGATCCGTTAACAGATCCTTCACAAAATATCTTTTCATAAAAACGGACCCTTCACAAAATATTTTAATTTAAAAACGGACCCTTCACAAAATGATTTTTCTTTTAATCGGACCCTTCACAAATTTGTTTATTTTCGTTATTGTTTTGTTAGTCGAATAAACCCTTCCCAGGAGGGGAAACAAGAAAGACAGATGTAAATGAATTAAGTAAATGAATTTCAAAAAAGCAGGACCCTGGTTGAAAGAATGTGACTTAACGTTTATTTTATATTCATAAATTACGAATAATTTTTTCACAATTTTACAAACACAGGACCTTTCCCAAAATGTCTGGACAGACTCCTAAAAGTAGTACAATACTGAAAGTAGCATTCGACGAGCGTCAACACAGTTAAGGTATATTTTACATATCTTTTATGAATACAGAAAACTAGTTAGTATACATTATTAGGTAATTTTAGAAGCTACCACTCCTCTTAAGAACCATTTTCCACATTACAAATACTTCGCTGTTTATAAACCTAGCTTTATAATTGGAAATTGGATACGGAAATCTTTCCAACGTGATGAAAGTAAGGATAAATAAAAGTTATTTAACAAAAGTTTTTTAAATAACAATCAATATTTTAAATATGAAAATCTTATTCAGTTTTAAGTACCATAATCAATTACTTATAAGAGGTAAAAAGAAATAACCCGGTAATCCTCTTTTCGGTTCTGAAAATTTCAAAATTCAGAATCATAGCAGAAAAAACAATCTATTCTTACCTTATATAGGTGAATAACAAAATTATTGCTTTCTTATTTTATTCAGATAACAGCCAGCTAACTACTTCTAGGAATATCTATAAAATCAAATGCATATTACCAAAATTAATAAATATATCAAATTATATCTTTTTAGTCACGATTTCGAAAAACTGTTGTTAATTTTAGGGATGGTGCACATAGATGATGTAGAATAGTCGGTGCTTTTATTGCTTTTAGCTCAGGTGGGGTGGAAAAGAATAAAAATTAAGAACTTATAGCTTGCATAGACGCTTGCATTTGCGACGATCTGGGAAACATCCCTCAGGATGATCCGAAACTTTTTGTCTGGACAGACTTGAAACTTGAACAACATGCCATCACAATTTTGATCCTCCGCAAAGGGGATGGTACCCCCGTTTCGGCAGCCCGACGACCAGCTCGCGAAGTCGAGCACTACTTTACGGTTGTTGCGGGTTCGCATAAGTAATATTTCATAAGAAAGCAAGAAATATTTTAGTTGTAATAATTTGGCAACAAAATATAAAAATATTATAGAACAAACAATCGATAAGTTAACAAGAAAAACGATGTCTAAAATAGTTATTCTTTCTATGTTTCTTCCTATGTAAAATGTCCTCGTCATGTAAATAAATGTGCTCTTGTCTAAAACAACCTGTATCTTCTTGTGAGTCGTAGTTCAATATTAGTATAAAATTCAAAGTTCGACTTCGCAACAACGGTAGAACAGTTTAACGAGGACCAACACCGCAAACCCTTGGATGTTACGCAGACTAACCCAAGTGGTCACCCACCCGCACACTAACCGCAGCCAGTGATGTTTGACTTCGGTGATCTGCTGGGAACCGTGTCTTAATGATCAGTCCACTGTGGGACGCAAATTTGTGGAAGCTGGACAGTGGGCAATGGACTAGAGCTGGACAATGGGCTATTTTCGATGGTCTGGGAAGCATTCCTGAGGATGATCCGAAGGCATGCCATCGTAATTTATCTCCTCTGCAGTGGGGATGGCACCCTGTTTTGGTAGCCCGACGACCTGCGAGTGAAGTCGAGCACCTGCGGTAGTGCAGTTTAACAAAGACCTATACCCTGTACCCTCAGTCCCTATGCAGGCTGATCAAAGTGTTTACCCACCCGCTGACTGACCACAGCCAGTGATGACAGACTAAGGTGTTCTACTGGGAACCGCGTCTTTACGATCGAAACTGTGAGATTCAAATTTAGGAATCAAATTAAAATATTTCCCGGTAGGTAGGTAAGTATTTTATTTACATCGCACTAGAGCTGCACAATGGGTCATTGGCAACAGTCTGGGAAACAACCCTGAGGATGATCCGAGGACATGCCATCACAATTTTGATCCTCTGCAGAGGGGATGGTACCCCCGCTTCGGAAGTCCGACGATAAGCACGTGAAGTCGAGCACTTTACGATAGAACAGTTTAACGAGGACCGGTAAAGCGCACCCTTGGTTCCTCTGCAGACTGATCCAAGTGGCCACCCACCCGCACACTGATAGCAGCCAGTGATTCTTGACTTCGGTGATCTGCTGGGAACCGGGTCTAAAGGATCAGTCCACTGCAGGACGGGAAAAATCCCTGAGGATAATCCAAAGTCACGACATCACAATTTTGATCCCTTGCAGAGAGGATGGCTCCTCCGCTTTGGTATCCCAACGATCAGTTGTGCGTGAAATCGAGCACTTTGCGGTAAAACAGTTCAACGAGGACCGGTAAAGCGCACCATCGATTCCTAAGTAGGCTGATCAAAGTGGTCACCCAATCTCTTACCGTCCGCAGAAATACGTAGTTTTTAGTTTCATATAGTTTCCGAACTTAAAAGTTTTAATATATTAGAAAATCAAGACAGAAACTAGCTGACTTCCTTCTTCTATGACTCTCCACACGCTAATGATGGAAGCATGCGAAGTGTTACCATAGGTAGAAAGTTCTGCTGTAAGCCAACTGTAGCCCATTTCAATCGCCAAAAACTTTTGATCTACTGATCGGATCTTCATATTCTGGGACTTTAATTGCTTGAGGGGGTGACCTCAAATATGCTAATTAGTAAGTGACGATGATATTTTAAGCTACAAAATCAAACACAAAAAAGTATTTTCTTTGAATAAACATATCATTTTTTTAATTTTTTTCCCTTTTTACTTATTAATTTATTTATTTGACGGATTCGGATTTTCGATCTCGAAAATGTAGGGGGTAGGCGTAATCCGGAAAACATAGTTCCAATAGTTTGGACAGAAGAGCGCTTCAAAGTTTGGACCCCTTATTGTTAATTTTATTTTTTGCATATTTCGTTATATCTCGGGAACATTTTATGCAAATCGAAACATTTTTACACAAATTATAAAATTTGTCTACTAAAGATAATTCCATGCAAAAAATAACTTTTAGTAAATATTTATTATTTTTCATTATTTTATTTAATAATAGTCGAAAAAATTAATTCGATTTCTCTGGAATTATTCAATCGATTTTACTCATACTTTTTTTTTGTCTAATAAAATCATATTCTGTAGAATGATGCAAAAAATTGTATACCTTGCAAGTCAAACAACTTTCGAGTGTTATTAAATAAAATAAAAAAATTTACTAAAAGCTGTATTTTACATGGATACATCTTTGGATAAACGAATTTTATAATTGTGTCAGTCAAAAAATTTTCAATTCGCTTAAAAAGTTCTCGAATTATGGTGAAATACACAAAAAGTAGAATAAATAAAAATAAAAATTAAGGGTTCCAAACTTTTATTTTATTTTATTTTATAACCGTCGTTGAACAGCCGACCCAATTTCATGGGTTTACGACTACTTACGTTCAACTCCGTAGCCTTGTAATTTTGAACCAATCCAGAAGACAAGGAAACTCCTGGATCAGTACCCCCAGAGGTATTGATTTGTTGTGGGAACATGGAGGACTTTGAGACTCGACAGATTTAACGTGCATCATTCACCATTTACTACACGGGGAGTCTTCGGCCGGCGAGGATCGAACCCACGACCTCTTGGATATGGGCCCAGCGCCCTACCGACCAGGCTATCCCGGCCGTTCCAAACTTTTGAACTTACCCCTGATCTAACTGTTGGGACCATAATTCCAAGATGGCTGCAAACCCCTATAATTTTGGAGTTAAAAATCTGAATCCGCCGACAAAAAAAATTGTTTATTCAGAGAAAGTACGTTTTTGTGTCTGATTTCGTAACTTTAAAATATCGTTTGCGTCTGCACTTAATAGTTAGCACATTTGAATTCATCCCCTCAAACCGTTGAGATTGAATTACTAAAGGTGAAGAGCCGATCATTAGATAAAAAGTTATTCAGGTTGGTTCGTTTATTTATTATTTATTTATTATTATTATTATTGCACATTGTAAGACACACTAAGAACAAAACCACTACGTCGGAAACACAAAGCAGCAATCCTCATCACATGAACATGGCCTTTTTTACACCGTCAACGTGTGGAAGTATAGAGACGACACCACTTTTTCTTATAACCGTCATTGAACAGTCGGCCCAATTTACGGCAAGAAATGTTCAACTCCGTAGCCTTGTAATATTGAACCTAATCCAGAAGACAAGGGAAATCCTGGATATTGGGGAAAATTTGCTGGTATTGGGAGAAATTTGCCTTCTCAGAGGATTTTTAGATGGAACATTTGCGTTGAATGGGGAGGAAAACCGCTAAAATTTTCCACGGTTAGCCTGACGGATGGGGGACTTAACCCATGATCCGTCTACAACTGACGATATTTTACGTTAACATTGTGTTCGGGGCGAACCAGATGCGGGATTTGTATCAATTAGCGGGATTCGTAACGATCGCTGGGATATGAACACGGGAATTGGGTTCTTGCAACATATCACAAAATTGTTTACAGGATGATCTTCAGAATGTTAATTTTTCCCCAAGTTAGAGACCGGCCTAGCCAAGGGGTAGGGATAAGAAGAACAAAGGTCTTCAAAGTAAATAAATAAATAATAAGAAGAATAAGATAAAAGAAAGAACATTTGTCCCACGAAATGATACAATTCATATTCAACATCCGGTTCAACAGGTTACTGTGGTAAGAGACTCTTTTTGGACAGAAATGAGAAAACCAGCCTGGATATTTACAATAAAAATAAATGAAATGACTCGAATTATTTTTGTTAGTTCAACGTGTTATGCACCTTGCCTGGGTCTGAAAGAGCCAGTTTTGTTCGTGATATCAGTAAACAATTTTTTCCGTAATAAATTATCTACGTAATAAATAAACTTTCTATCATTTTACCGCATTTCAAAACATTTAAGCTATATTTTGCGAAGTTTTTATAAGACCTCTATTTGCTCTCCGCTTATTATGGGCATTTTTGAAAGCTTTTTGCAAACTTTCGTTTTCGAATTAAATCAATTATGCAGTTATAAACATTGTTTTGCCTCCCTTTACTTAACAAGCTTATTGTAGTTGTTAATGAAAGGAAAATATCTAGAGTTTCATCATCATCATAGTTGTCCAGACAGTCCAATGTGGGCCAATGTCTTCCTCCGAAGATTTCTCCATAAGAACTTCCAATTTATCTTTGAACTCCAATCCTTTTCATTAGTTGCGAGAAAATCAGATTCCACCGAGTCAGCCTATCTTAAGCCCTGCTTTCTTGTTCCAATGGATCGAAAAAGCAGTATCGTTTTTATTGTATTAACATCACTTTTTCGAATCACGCGGACCATCCAATTCATTCTATTCATTTTTATGTATTTAATAAATCGGGTTGTTTATAAATCTGGTACAGTTCAAAGTTAAATCTCCTTCTCGAGTTACTGTTTTCATTTACACCACCAAGTATACTCCTCAAAATCTTTCTCAAGATGCTATTTTCCTCCAGTTTTATCATTTTTCAAGCTTCAGAAGCGTATGTCTATAAGACAGGAGTTTTTCAGATTAAGAACTTTGTTTTTCTAGAACCTAGAAAAAAACACAGCACCTTGCCCCTGGGGATTATATCAGGCGATTGGCCCCCCAGCTTGGGGGTTGGGACTTCTCTGACACCTCTTTCCTGTAAAAACTTCTTGTTACGAAATCCTTAGAAGAAAAAATATCTAGCGTTTAGGAGCAGGAAATTCTGCCAAGCCGATCAGTAAACTATTTTCACTTCCATTCACCTCCATATGTACTAAAAGCTGTTATTTGATTGTCTTTTAGCACAGATCTCTATTT